CGACTCGTGCGTCCGTAGACCCCCCCCCCCCCCCCCCCTTCCCCTCGCCTGCCGCTCCATGGGCCCCCGCCTTCCAGCACTCGACGCGCGGCTGACCCTCTCTTTGGCCTTGACTCGTCCTCGTCCTCGTCCTGCCCGCCCTTCGCCGCTACCTGCAGGGACCCGAGGAGCTTTTCGAGACGGTATCGCAGATCCTCCTCGGCGCATTGGAGAGGGATGCACTTTCAGGCTGGGGCGCCGTCATCCGCATCATGTGAGTGGAAGCATGCTCGCCGCTTTGCCGCCTCGGACACGACCCAGCAGGGCCAACTCGTTTTTCTGATTTTCGCCTTCTGTCGACGTCGCCAAACCCCCTCCTGCCACGCTCTCGCAGCACACCGGACAAGGTCATCGAGAGGACGCTCAAGGCGCGCATGGACTGAGTCTCTCCAGAGCCGAGCCGACTTGTGACGCCGTGGCAGAGCAGAGCAGAGCAGAGCAATGTACTTGTGATTTCGTGTTTCTTTGCAGGAGCCGGGGCGACGTCGTGTGAAGCCCTTACCTTCTGTTCGGAGTGGAGTGTTGGGGGATTCGCGAGCCGGCGCGGGCCGACTCGACCATTCTGCTGTCGTCGTTGTTCGTTGCTTCAAGGCTGTGTCGTCGGCTCACTCGACAGCAGCTGTGTGGCCGTTGGCGACGGTGGACATTCGACAGACAGACGCAACGACCGGCAGGCAAGGAACCTCAGCACCTCGCCTTCAGCGCCATCGACCCGATCCTAGTCCTTCAGACGTATGCCATTCGACGAGCAAAGAAGACAGAGAGAGTCTACAGCCGCACCGCCGTTGACTCATCGGCCAGCGGCTGGAGGAACAACACAGCACGCCGGCGACGGTGCTAGGCAAGGGCGGGATGGGGACGAGGCGAAGAGCATCACTTTGTGTGGTGGATGCGGAGCTTCTTGGGGTTGTAGTCGTAGTTTGCGGCGTAGCTCTTGGGCGGGATGCGGGCCACCTTGGGCTCCTGGATGTGGTAGTCCCATCCCTGCTTTTCGCAAAAGTGCACGGCGTCCTCCTTTGTGCGGAACTTGAGCGACGTGCCCTGCATGTAGTCGCCGCTGTTGTGCCGCGCCGGTGTCATGGTGGGTGGGTTCAAGGGAGGTAGGGAAGAACGAAGGAGGGTGGACAGAGTTGCGTCGTCAGTGAATCGATGCAGAGAATAAGAGAGGGTCAAGGGGCGGCGGAGTCGACATACGAGGATGCCCAGCCCATGAGCGGGTTCTCCCAACGAGCGCTGCCCTGGAGAATGTCCCAGTCGACCCTCCAGACCTTGGTTCCGGCCTTGCCGGAAGAGTTGGCAGTCTTGGCAGGACGGAAGATGCGCACGCTGCGCTGGTTGAGCTCGGCTGTCGGTCACAAGCAGCGGGACGGTACAGAAGAGACGGGGTGTCAGCGAGCTGCCAAAGAAGACGCATCTTTCCCAAGACCGCGATTGGAAGAGCCGAAGGGCTGCGAGGGGAGGGGAGGGGAGGGTAAGCTGCCGCCTGTCGGGGACACTCACCGGGAGCGCTGCTGGCAAGGTCGGCGGTGATGGCCTGGTCGTGTCGTGCAACCTGCTCTGCGGCGAGGTCACGCTCCTGTTCCGGCTGGGTGCTCGAGACGGGCGCGGGTGCGCTGGACGACGAGGACGAGGAGGATGCGTTGCGCCACACGGACGAGGTGGCAAGGGTGCGCAGCGAGGCGGGCGCTGGCTGTGCGGCGGCGGCCCGCGCCAGGACGGGGATGTGTCGGAAGAGGGACATTGTGTGTGTGCGCGATGGGGGCCGAAGAGGCGGTCGAGTGGTGATGATAAGATTCTGCGGACGGTGACCGAGGTGGCGAAAGGTTCGGGATGTCGGGCGGGCGGAGCAGAGCAGCCAACGCCAGCGACAGCGACGACAGATGGGCCCCGCCCGCCCCTTCCGGCTGCCGACCGACCCGCCAAGCTAAAGAGGGCAACCCACGCCTAACTTGTCGGCTCCGAAGCTCGTCAACCATGCCGGCGGAGGAGCCCTCCACTCTGCTGCTTCTTCCAGGCTGGAAAAAGTTGGTTGCGGTTGGGGCAGTCAGCCTTTCTCTCTCTCTCTCTCTCTACACCCTCCTCCTCCATCCTCCTCATCCTTCATCATCCTCTTCCCCCTCCGCTCCCCCGCATACCTCGCCATGTCGTCGACCCGCAAGCAGCAGATCCGCCCGCGCTTCGTCGACCTCGCCGAGTTTGACGACGACCACTTCGCCCCCGCCACTTCCTCGTCGTCCGCAGCAACCAACCCAGACGGCTCTAACGCCTTCAACTGGCCGTCCGCCGCAACCGTCGTACGTCGGCCGCCACCCACCATCGCCTCCGCAAAGCCAAAAGACACGTCCATCCCATCTTCGACGTCAGAGCCGCTGCCACAGGCGCAGACACAGACACGGAGCCACCCGGCCGAGCAGGCTGCCGCCTCTTCTCAGCAACCCAAGTCAAAGGTGGTCCGCATCGCACCCGACTCGGCCAACCAGGTCAGGCATATCGAACAAAGGCCGTCCTCGAGCTCTACCGGCTTCTCCTTTGGACCCTCCAGCCAGCCATCGAGACGCCCACCACCAGCCCACCAACAGCAGCACCATGACGACGACCAGTTGCCCACCAGCTTCACCCTTGACTTTGACGAAGGTGGCACAGGTGCACCAGAGGGCAGCGGCTGGGGCTCGAGCGCACCGATAGAGGCAGGTGCACCCCTCATCGGATCCATCAGCGAGCGCAAGCCTAGCGGCAGCCGCACCGCCACCGCCACCGACCGCGCGAAACCGAGAGTCGGCTCTAGATTCCTTGCCAGCAGGCAGATGGACGCAGACATGCGCTCCGCTGCAGAGAGCAAGGCAGCCGCCCTCGCCCGCGCAAAGACGTGGGAGGACCAGGAGCCTGGCACCGGCTTCCCTCGCGTGCCCAGGAGAGACGTCATCGATCCCATCCTGCCCCGTATCGGCGGCAGATCGAGTGGACCAGAGCTCTCCGAGGACGTGCGTTCCGCGCCCAAGCCGACAGAGGATAGAAGCGTGCAGGCGACGGCCGCAACCGCCGTCGACGAGGACGAAGAGTGGCTCGACGAGACGGGGCGGCCGATGTCGGCGTTCCGCAAGACGCGCCTGCTCAAACAAGGTCTCCGGCCACCGGCAGTCCGGAGTCGCTCAGAGGGCGCAGCCCCTGCCACAGGAGCTGGCGCCAGCGATGCGACCAGCGGCGCAGACGAGGGACACAGCTACGTGCGCGATCCGACGCGCGATCCTGGAGGAGGCGCCGACCCCGAGTCCATCACCGCCATGCTCGCCTCTGTCTCGAGCGAAAACGACCAGAAGGTCAAGGCCATGGACGCCGCGCAAGTCCAAGAGGAGCTGCGGAGCCTCGAGGCACTCTTTGGCAAAAGCGTGCTCGACGCTCTGCGAGCGAGGAAGCCGAGCGGCGATGCCGTTGCCACCGACGCCGACGCGGATGCAGCGTCGGCTTCTGCAGCGAAAGAGGCGTCCCACAAGACTGCTTCCACTGAAGCACCGACCTCCGCCGCGCCTGCGACAGTCGATCTAGACGGCCCCGACTCGATCCGGAGGCGCTACTTCCCGGGCGAGCCCGAGGGTGTCAATGCCTCGCTCGAGTGGATGGTGCCGCGGCCAGCCGAGAGCGCGAAGGGCGGCACCGCAGCACAGACCGGCGAGCCGAGGTTCGACTTCGAGGGCAGCCTCGTCGAGCAGCGTCGAGACACCGACAGCACGTACGTCGCCGGCCTGCACCATCACGGCGACGACCAGCATGCGCCGGGATACACTGCCTCCGAGTTGCTACACCTCGCCAGAAGCTCGGTTGCTGCCCAGCGGCAGCTCGCCCTCAACGTGCTGGGCAGGATCTGCTCGCAGTATCCGCTGTCTGGTCCCGCTGGCCGGCCTGCCGAGGTAGATCAGGAGAGTGGTCTCAGCCTGTTGCCCGGCACCGAGCGCGCCACCATTCAGGCAAGGACGCTGGTCGCCGCCCGGTGGCTGCTGCAGGATCGCAACTTCACCGTCCGCTCGGCCGCCTTGCGCTGCCTCGGAGCCGTCGTCCGCTCCGGGCCATCGGGTCAACGACCGACGCCGGGGTCGACGCTCCTCGTCGACTGGAGGCAGCTCGGACTGGCTTCCGCACCCGCGCAAAAGAAGGACAAGGACGACATGTCGTTCGAGGACATTGTCAAGGCAGACTGGGTCGACTTCCTCGTCGGCAGCGGCTTCCTCGACCTGTGCGTCGACAAGACCGAGATGCTCGTCGCGACGAGCTGGGACGCCGAGATGCTGCTCGAGGTGCTGTGGAGGATGGCCAGCTGCTCGGCCGACCGCGCGCGGCGCATTGTGGGCGCAGACGAGAGGCCGATGCGCGACCTTGTCGTCGACCTCGGGCTCAAAGCGGCCTGGCCCCCGTCGGGCAGCTCTCGCAGCGGCGGCCGAGGCGGAGGCGGCGGCGTCGACGTACCGCCCGGGCGGCCAGCTCCGGCCGCATGGAGTGGCCGTCGCCGTCGGCTGTTCGCCTGCTGCATCTCGGCATCATGGCCGACCGCAACTCGGCCAAGGCCATGGTGCTCGACGGCACCGTCGACCATCTGCTTCGGTTCGTCATGCTGTACCCCTGGAAGCTCGAGGAGGATCTGGCGCCTGCCATGGCGACAGCTCCGACCGCGCATACCGAGGACGACGACGGCGGCGATGACGAATCGGAGGAGCTGGTGGTCCGCGCCTATGAGCTTTTCGCCGCCTGCCTCGACGTCTACAGCTCGCTGGGCTTGTACGGACAGTACGCGTCGGTTGCCGGACGCACCTGGAGCGTGTGGCAGGACGTTGGCGCCTGGGCCAACCGACTGTTGCGACAGGGCGGCGCGGAAGGTCGTACCACGTCGAGCGCCGTGCGCCAGGCCAAGATCGGCACGGTGGCGAGCTTCTTCCGTCTCCTCGAGATCTGGACGGTGTGCGCCAAAGACCCGCATCAGCTGCTCGGCCACCACGACATTACCTGGACGCAGGTCAGGGACTGGGTCGAAATCAGCTGCGATGCGCTCGCCTCGCTCGGCGCCGGACCGCCAGCTGGAAGCGATGGCGGCATCGCCGTCCCTGATGCGGCCCGCATCGCCGGGTCGGCCGCCGGCCACTTGGTCGCCTGGGTCGACTGCTGCAAGGGCAAGCAGGCGAAGCTGCTCGAGGAGAGGCGCGGTGCTATCGAGGCAGGCCTAGCTGCGGCGACAGCGGTCATCTCTCCCGCGTTGGACGGCCTTGACCTTGAAGTTGTGACGGCAGCGACCGTCGAACAGACGGCCTCGCTGTGTGTCGCAGCTTCCAATCTGCGACGATTGCAGCGCGGCCTGCACGGGTCCGGCATCGGCTCCAACACCGACACCGACACCGGCGCAAGCACGACGAGGAGCAAGTCAACGCCGCCCGACCTCGATGCGCGACTCGCGAGCTTCGCTTCTCGCATCCTCGCCGCCGACGCACTCTGGAACTTCCTCTCGAGCCCAACGTCGCGAGCTCAGGGGACGTACAGCCACCGGAGCAGCATCGTGCACCTCATCGCCGAGGTCCTGCCCGCCTCGTCGAGCCTGGACAGGCTGCTGCTGGTGCCGCATCTGGGCGGCGGCGACCGCGCGCTGCTGCACCAGATCACGAGCGATGCGATGCAGCACGTGCTCGGTGCTGAGGGCGCGGCGATCCTGGCGCCGTTCCTCGACGAGTACATCTGCGGCGGACACCAGCGGGCGTGGCGGGACAAGGTCCTGGCAAGGTCCCGAGCCAGCCTGGACGTGCACCCGAGCTCGGACAGGCTCGCCGGTCGTGCTGGGCTCTTTTATGACGAGGTCGACCCGATCGAGCTTGCCCGGCGGGAGCGTGCCTCGGCCGAAGCGGAGGCCAACGACGAAGCGGACAACGACGAGAGTGAGGGTGAGGGCGACGGCGACGACGGTGGCGAAGCGGAGATGGATCCGATGACCAAGACGCCATTCTGGCGGTCGCCCTCGCTCTCGCTGCCTCTGCGCTCCGACTGGCCGCTGGTGGCGCTCGACGAGCTGCTGCACAGCGCCAACAGCGCCGTGCTCAACCGCCCGGACAACCTCCCCGCGGGTTACGACGCCAACGAGCAGAGCATCGTCGAGACGTCGCTGCGCCTCTTTGTCGACATCGTCTCGGCGCTGCTGACGAGGTACGACGAGAATGCCGCCACCGGCGGCGTGGGCCCGGACGGGGACGTCAGCGGTACCGCCGCCGCTGCCGCCGCTGGTGCCCTGCCGACGGCGGTGCAGATCCGACTTGGGATGTGCAAGGTGTTTATGCTCGAGCATGGCCAGTCTGAGTCGTTCCTCGCCGACGCTGACGCGGCGCAGCAGGGCGCGTCGACGAGCGCAGAGACGAAGCACAAGGTCGCAATCGAGCGGGGTCGGTTGACGGGTCGCGAGATCTTCCGCGATCCAGCGGTATCCAAGCAGATCGAGACGTTGTTGGACCTCGCGGATCGTCTTTCGACCCATCCTTGCCTCTCCCTGTCCCCGTCCTCGTTCAAGACGGGGGTGGATGACAACAAGATGGCGGGGTCGAATGACAACAAGACGGTGGGGACGACGAACGACTACAAGACGACGGTGGGGTCGAACGACAACGACAAGACAAAGACCAGGACCAACGACTACGAAAGCTGGACGACCCACACGCTCGGTGGGCACACCTCGTTCTACACGTTCTTCACGGACCTGGTGGGGCTGTACGACTCCATCTCGTTTGGCGACGTCAGTTTCGGACGCATCCTCCTCGTCCTCTGCTCGACCTCTTCCAACCTCGCCGTCGAGTACCGCCGTCTCCTCTGGAACGACTACGCCGATTCACTCATCTCCATCCGTCTCCCCCCGCCCACACCCCCGCACGGTACACTCGAGGGTGTCTACTACGGTACCGAGAGGGACCCGGATCCGGAGATGCAGCGTAGCTATAGCATCGTGATGCAGAGGCTGCAGACGCTGGGTAGGACGTCGTTTGTCCCGTTTTGCGTGGCCAGGTTCCATCTTGCTTGATTGGCCGGCCACACTTTTTTCCTCGTGCCCAAATCGAATCGACAATGGTCGCACCCGCCGCTACGATGTGTGTGTCCTCGGCCCTGTCCTCGGCCCTGTACCGCTCAAGATACCTGTGCGTCGCATCCACCTTCGTAGTTCCAACCCCCCATCGTCACCAAAAGGCGACCGAAAATAACGCCAAAAAGCAAGGTCCTACCCGGATTCGAACCGGGGGCGAGCGGAAACCGATCATCCCTTCAATGAAGGGGATTCTGCGCAGGCGAGTCAGAACCGCTAGAGTTGACCACTACTCCATAGAACCCCTTGATGTCAGAGGCAGAAAAAACAACGTACATAACACGTAGTGCACGTTATGAGAGCGTCCACCAGACACACTCACATACCCACACACACACGACGTGCCTCCGATCCGAGAGAGAGGTGAGATTCAACGACGGAGGTACAGCGGCTATGCAGTGCGGAAAATGTAGTGGACGCCGCTGTCGGTGTCGACGACGTCGCTCATGGCGCCGACGGGCAGGTTGAAGGTGGCCTCCTCGAAGGGCTTCTGCATCTGGCCGCGGGTAAAGAAGCCCAGGTCTCCGCCGGCCTTGGCCGATGGGCAGTCGCTGGACGGGGGGGTGGGCAGGAGGGAGGGCGCGAGAGAGAGAGGGAAGCGGGGCCGGCGGTCAGGGTCAGGATCTCGATGGCCGGGCCGCCGCGGTGGCAGAGCTGGGCGGGCGGCCACGGGGCCAGCAGCGACTCACGAGTGGACGCTGGCGACCTTGGCAAACTGCTCCTGCGTCGGGTTGGGTCCGAAGTCGGCTGTGAGCTGTTTGAGCATCGCAATGGCCTCTTCCTTGGTCCTGGTGATCTTTTCCTGCTCGCCGAAGAGGTGCCGTCCGCGGCGGGCGGCAGGGGTCCACCGTTCCGTCCGTCAGCACACCTTAGCCTGAAGCAATCGCCTGCAAAGATGCTGCTGTCTCCCAGCTCCTTCCTGCCCACTCACCTCCTTCCAGCTGCTAGGTCTTCGGCTGTCGCGGTGCTTGATGAGGAGGTGGCTGGCGCGGACCTGGTTGGCGGGCGCGTTGGCGGGCTCGAGCAGGTGGGCGCCAGGAAGCGACTTGATGGTCGCCTCAGTGTGGCCCTCGGGGATCTCCCAGGTCGACTGTCCCGAGGCGGCGTCGTAGAAGTAGGGCAGGCGGCGCGAGTTGCTGAAGCGGATCTCCCACTGCGCCTGTCGGTGGTGTATGTAGATGCGGTTGGCCCAGGCACGGTGCGGGCGGCAACACGCCATCAGCGACGTGCGCTCCGCTCAATCCCCGTCTGCCTCTGCTGGATGCGGCTACTCACGGACATGACGGGCAACTTTGGATGAGGTTTGCTCTTGGAGAGGGGGGGTGTTGGGTGGTGGCGGTCCTTGGCAAAGACGGAAATGGGCACGCTGGGCGAGGGCAGGGCAGGCGTCGTGTTGTTTTGCGTGCGAGCTGCTGGAACATGTGGAGCGAAGGGGCCGGGTGGCGTGCACAGACCTGGTGCAAAAACCGCTGGCTGGCTGGCCCTTGTCTCGGCCGTCAGGAGGCAGGCGCGAGCACCACCACCAGCAGGCCTGGTCTGTCCGGTCCAGCAAGCCAGCTTGCACTGGCCGGCGCTGGCCGAGGCTCTGCATGCCACGCCACCACTCGCGAGGCTACGGTATGTACATGACGTACAAGTCGATCTGAGGCGCAATTCCTTAGGCTGTATTCTCTGGCCCTACTTTCGGGGAAGAGTCGCTCGGGCGGCGCCAAACAAAGCCAGAGCAGGCCAGGCCTGCTGGCGCAAGAGAGTGGCGAACTGGGCCGGCCCAGACGTAAGGCTCGAATAAGATGCCATGACGGTGACCCGACCAAGCTCGCACCCCGTTCGGCGCCATCGGTAGTAGCACATACCGTAGCGATCTGGACAAGTGCAGACCAGGCCAAGCGTGGTCCCTGTGGGCGGCGACAAAGGCGATCGCGGCCGCGAGCGGCGCACAAAGCGGGGGCCCGTGTCTGGTGGGGGCGCCATGGATGTACCTGCGACAGAAGCCTGTTCGCCGGCCGTACAGTATCCATCCCCGGAGGTGCTCTTCGATCTCTGGCTTGATGTGCGATGCGTAACGGAAACAGCCACCGATGGCCGCCCCGACGCCCGACCCCAGCTCGGCCGTCGCGCATCCTTTCGTCCAAGCCCCACCCCCCCGTTGGCACACCAAGAGGCGGCTTGATGCCAGGGCCGGGTCAGCATCGCGCGGAGCGGTCGCATCGGATGAAGCCGAGAGGTCGCAAACAGGTCAGCTCGCTCGACGGTGCGTGTACGGGCCGGCGCGGCGGGGGTCACGTTCCGCAGACTGGACAACGCTGTCGACGAAACTCGACAACGGGGTGGGACCATGGCCGAGCCACCTCATGCGGACAAGCCGAGGCGTCGAGAGGGCATGCGTCCATGGTCATCGCTGTGTCGGTCGCTGGCCGCCCTTGACCTACCTGCTTTCTGGCGACTAGGGGTGCGCCAACATCGGCTCGGTCCGCAGCCAGGGGCAAGAAGGCTGTACGTGTAGCGCTGGCAGGCCAGGCAGTAGGCAGGTCGTCGGGCTATCCGCTTTCCGGTCGTGCTGGACAGCAAACCCTTGCCTCGAGTTGCTTCCGATCCATACGACGGTCAGACTCCGTGCTTCGGGGCGGCGCTCAGAGCCAAGAGTAGTGTTGGGCCAGCAAAGCAAGGCAACGCTGGATGTTGGCGTCGCCGTCCCAACGGAGCTACATACACAGGGCAGGGGTTTGAGGCTAGGTGGCAAAAGAGTTGGCCGAGGCAGGAAGGCGTTTGATCCCCGGCCGCAGCAAGACGACCAACGTAGCCTTCCGCTGCTTTGCGACGAGGCCGTCGTACTACGGCCACCGGTAAGCCCGGGCGAGGATGGAGACAGGCAAGGCCGGACGATGGCCGAGCAACCGTACCGTATGTAGGCTCCGCCCTTGCTTGCCCGCCTGCTCTTAGTCCCTGGCGCCCGGTCTGGCGGCGAGGCTAGGGTCCCCGCGCGGGATCGGCGTTGGCGCGCCTGCCTGCATCTCTAGGTGCGTCTTGTGCGAGGCGAGGGATCGACGCCGGGCATGTTCCTCAGACATGCCGCAGCTCAGACACATCGAACACATCCTCGGCAGGACGCCGATACATGCTCGCTCGCCCGCCATCGGCTGCTTGCTTGGTCCCGAGGGCCTGCTCCGACCCATCGATCTGTTTGTCGTGGCTACGGGGTGGTGTAGGGTGGCGCTGGTTCCCGGTCTCACAAACGCAGGCCAACCTCGGTCTGGCCCACCCACAAACAGCCTACGAGCAGCTGCGCGAGGCGGCCTTGCTCGGGCCAGCCGATGTATCCTTGTGTGCGGCGTTGCGCCCTAGCCTGCCGTGCACGCTTGCAGAGCGCAGGTACAGACGCACGTCGTTTGCAGCTGCATACAACGCCCCGGGCCTCTTACATACTTCTATCTGTACGTCTGTCTACAGCTCGATCTCGGACCGGCGGGGCGTCAGCAGCCAGCGCAGTGCGCCTTTTAGTCGCGACCGCCGCCACCGCCGCCGCTCCTACCTGCCCCTGCCTGCTGGTAGCCGTTGGTGAAGCCAACCAAGCCAGGGGGTTGGACCTCTCCTGGGACCCCGAGGCAAGCGCCTGTGCGCAACCACCGTCATATGATACGTATGGCATCGTGACCGGCCTGCTGCTGTCGTGCGGTCAGCCGGTACCTTGAGCGAAACCCGAACAGGCTCGGTCATGGCGAGGTAGAGAGAGATCTAGAGAGAGATCTAGAGAGAGGCTGGCCACCGCAGTGCCCTCTCGGGGTTTGGCTTCTTCCAAACGCTGCCCACCCGCTGCGCCAGCGAGACGACGACCCAAGCTGCTCCAAGGCGGCTGGCTGCCACCCACCTCGACACTCTGTGACTCTAACCTACATACATCTGCCTCCTTCTGTACTGTACTCTCGCTGCTCACCACCAGCCAAGAGGGCCTCTTCTCTCCTTTCTTCGCCTTTTCGCAGCGGGTGCACCACCCTCTCGCTTCCAGTGTCAAGCTCCGAGGCGTCGACCATCACCACACTCTCTGACTCCGCTGGCTCGGCGTCATCCTTCCTTTTCACTACCCTCGCCCGACACCTCGGTCCAGCCCCCCTGTCGCTTGTCTGCCTGCCTTGAGCGCCCGCGCTGCCGGCTCGGCAATCTGTGGGGACAGCCGCCGACAAGATTCCGTCCTCGTGCCGTGGCTACAGCACCTACCTGCCCTCCTCTTGTGCCGTCCTGTGTCAAGACAAGGGTCGACTGTCTCGGGGCCACACGTACTGGCGGATCAGAGCTAGAAGAGGTGGCGACGGCGGAAGCGATAGCACCACTCTATCTGCCAGCCAAATAACCCTAGCCTCTCGAACCCACGCAGCACGCAGCAAGAAGAGCTTCGAATTACGCCCAGCTCAATCGATTCTGCAGCGCAGCGGAGCCCGACGGCGACCTCGACGCCTCTCCCTCGCGCTCTCTCTTCCCGCCCTCGCTCTCTCTCTGCCACCCCTCGTCGCCCCTCTCTGCCAACCCTCCTCACCCTCTCTACCGTCTGTCCTTGGCCCTGGTGCCGCGCCCGGCTGGTTCCAATCGACACGCCCGTACGCCAACCAAAACAGACTTTGCTGCCCTCGATTGACCGAGCGACCGACCGACCGACCGGCCGGCCGACAGGACAACTGACCGGCACAAAGCAAACGGCTGAGGCTACAGAGTGCCTCTGCGCGTACCGCTGCTGCCGCCCGACCAGTCCCGCCTGGCAGTGTCCGACATTGTCGCCCGCGCGTTCTTACGTATCCAGCTCCAAGCTCCACTGTGGCCACTGAGCCTACAGCACGAGCCTCGGTCGACGCCAACCACCTGCGCTGGCCCGCACAAGCGTCGGAGGTTGTAGCAAGCAGGCAGGCTCTAGATTGCCATTCAGTGACCGCCTCTGCGAGTACCGGTGACTACGGCACGGTCAGAGGGCGCACCGGGCTGTGCGTGTGGCTTTCCCACACTACACTACCATCATCATCGTCCCCCACGACGGTCAGCCCCGACACATACGGCCTGGCATCTACATACATACACCTTCAGCATACGCCCGCAGAGCCCAACAAAAGAGAGCCGACCCTCAGGTAGCTCTTGCCTCAGCCAGTCGACCAGTGCCCGAGCCCGGAACGGCAAGGTGAAAGCGACCCTTTGCCCCTCTGTCCCCGCCGCCACACTACCACATCACTCTATCTCTCGGCGCAGGGCGGCGGCGTGGCGGCGTGGAACGGGTGTCGATCTACAGCATCGCACAGCAGATTCACGCAAAGAGGAGGAGGGGTGGCAGCCTGGGCCAAGTACGCTCGGTTTTCATCAAGCTCGGCTTTCACCGCCCATCTGCCTCTCGACCAGCTTAAGGCTACTTTGTGCGACCTTTATTGGACTCGCCTCTGCCTCGCGCCGCGCCCAGCCAAGTCTTGAGTCGTAACGTACGTTTCTCGGTGCGCGTGGATGTCACGTCGGGACCGCACAGATTGACACATTCCTAACACGCTAACCTGCCACCGTACCTTCGCGCCGCCCAGCGCCGACGCCAGCTAGGTAGAACATCCCAACCGGCCACGACGGTCCTAACCCTTCGACGCCGCCGCCGCCGCCGCCGCCGCCGCTCCCGACGCCGCATCCGCCACGACTGCTCGCCGGCGCCACACGGCGACCTGCCGCGGTCCGTAACCCATCAACCTGCCCGACGCCTTGGCTGCCGCCCGACACTCGTCATCGGCCTCGCCATCCTCGATCTTTCTCTTTCTTCAACCTCTACCTCGCATCAGCACGGCACAGCACGGCACATCGCCGCACTCACGCCGCAGGCCGTACGTGCAGGACGGCCGCGTCTGCCCTCCCACGCCGTCGACTCGGCCGCACTTGGCCCGGTACAGACCGCTCCGGCACGCCGAGACGGAGACAGAAGACTCGGCCATGCCCGCCCGCCCACAGTGGAACATGAGGTTTGCGGCCTCCGCTTCGACTTCCGCACCGACGTCGGCCTCGCACTCGACTACGACCTCAACCTCGAACTCGACCTCGACCTCGACCCCAACTGCCACCTCGTCCGCCTCTTCGCCCAAGTCATCCTTTCGGTCGGACAGCATCGACACGGTCGATGAGGGCCGCCAGGCGTCCGTCTCTTCATCCACCACGCCACTGCCAGCCTCGTCTCCAGCGCAACCGCACAATCTTGCGTGGCTAGAGTCCAGCATGGTCAACCAGGTCAGCAGCCTCGACGTCGACCTCCAGGTCTGCGACTCGGTCCAGCATGACGCGCCCAGCCTGTTTGGACTGCGCAGAAAGATCGCCGCTGCACTGCCCCAGCTCGGCTTCGACGACGACTTTGGCGGCGGCGGCGGCGGCATCGCAGCGCGCAGAAAGAGGTCGCGCTCTCGACCCGCCGGCGGCGACTCGATCAACAACATCGCCATCGACCTCGCCAACGCCGAGGACACGATGGGCACCGAGGCGCCCTTCCACATCGTGACCCCGTCGACGCGGGACGGCAGCAGCACCTCGGGCCTCTCGCCCTTTGCCTCGTCGCATAGCAACGCAAAGCACATGGCCAAGCTCGAGCGGGAGCTCCAGGAGCGCGAAAAGGACTACGAGGTCCAGCTGCTCAGCCGCTTCGAGATCTCGGAGCTCAACATGGACGTCTACACAGAGCAACGTACGGGCGAGTGGGTGCAGAGGGGAGCCGCGCCGCCGCATGGTGAGCACGCGTTCCGAGACTGCCGAGTTGGAGAGATGCCGCGATTGCCCCCATACTCATGCCGACGGCAACCCCGCCTCTGCTTCCTCTGCTTGTTCCTTCGCCGCCGCCCCCCGCAGCCGAACCCGCGGATACGTTGCCACGCATCTTTAGCCCGTGGGACATCGGCGTCGACACCAAGGCTATCATCCGGCGCAACAAGCTGCGCTCGTTTGTGGAGCTGGTCGACTCGACGACGGCCGTCAGGTGCCCGGACTGCGACACCTACACGGATCGCGAGGCGGGCTTCCGCTTCCACTGCGAGCCTTGCGAGACGTGCGCCTCGACGGGCCTGGTCAAGATGGTCTACGTCGTCTGCGTGACGCTGCGGCACTCGAAGTTCCTGCCCCTCTTCTTGCCCCTGGCCCACCTTGGCGGCTGGTTCCAGGACTCGATCCGCACCTATCTGTGCACTCCGGAGCAGCACATCCACCCTGCGCTGCTGCAGCACAAGGCCATGGAGGCGATCCGCTCGTCGGCCTACCGCGTCGGCATCGCCCACGCGCGCCAGCACGATGCGCGGCTGCTGTGCGTCAAGGCGACGCTGCACAAGCGGAGCTGCAACAGCGTCGTCGTCCTGCACCGCCCCCACGGCACGCTGCGCACGTTTGACGTGACCGACTCCGGCCAGCTCAAGGTCGGATCCAACACCGAGGACGCCATCCGCATCCGCCAGACGCCCGGCTTGACGCGGTTGCTGGCCCCGTACCCGCTCGTGGCCCGCATCGACGGGCTGCACCAGCTCGTCGGCATCGACCGGCTGGTCGAGACGACGCGACGCACTGTGTGGAAGCAGTACACGATCCCGCTCGACGCTCCCGCCGCCGGGGCCACGGGAAGCGGGATGGTGGCGCCCTCGTCGCCGCGCACCACCATCTCCGAGACGTCGACCCTCTACCCGTCCCAGGCCGTCCCTCGTTCGGCCGGTGGATCGTCGATCATGTCTTCGCCGTCGCCGCGTCTCGGGACGCTGAGGCTGGCCACGCGCAGTGCGATGGACCTTACGACGCCCGCGCGGGACAGGAGCAACTTTACCGTCGACTCGAGCTCGGTGTCGTCCTTGCCTCAGGTGCCCTCGCCTCCCTTTTCGGCTCCCTTCCCGTCGTCTTCGTCGTCGTCGTCGTCTGGCGCGAGGAGCGGGGGCGCACGGTCCTTTTTCTCGCTGGGCAGGTCGACGATCAAGAAGAAAAAGTCGGCGTCGTTCCTCTCTGCGGGTCGCGAGGCGACGGTGCAATAGTCGAGGGTGCACACCCTTCGTCACGGTCGCTTGCCGGATCCCCGTCCTCCAAGAAAGGGGAAGGGGTAGACGCCTCGCGTTCTTCCTCTTTCCTCTCTGTCTCTCTCCCTCTCAAAGCGCTCCAACGTCGAGCTCTACAACAACACCCGTTCCTCTTCGTCCCTGGGTCACCTCTGGTCTTCTCTCTGCCCTCTCATCTCATCATCTGATCATCGTCACGATCGCCTCCCCGTCCCGTCCCAACCCGAGTCGGTCCTCTTCCCTCGTCCCACATCGTCTCCCATCTTCCCGCGTCACACGTCCATCTCCCCGCGTCACACGTCCATCTCCCCGCGTCACACGTCCATCTCCCCGCGTCACACGTCCATCTCTCCACGTCACAAGTCACTCGCCACTCGAAACCCCCTGTATTTGTGTCTCTTCCCGCTGCCTCGCCGCTGAAACCCACACCCCAAACAACACCCTCCTTAGCTAACCCTCCCTATTCACTCGTTCACTCGTTCATTCGTCCCGGGCATCCCATTGTCACCGAGTCGCTTTCTGTCCTTGTCGAATACACTAATGGTACGACGCAACCCAACTCAGAACGCACCGCATCCCATCCCAACGCATCGCATCTCATCGCAGCGGCGTCCTCGATCCTCGGTCCGGAACCAGACGTGGGACATGCCCAGCTCGAGGCATTAGATGTGGCACTTCCATCATGTCCAGTCCGAGCCGACGCTGCTCTCCTGATGCGACACCGACATCGCGCCGGAAGAGTACAGGGCCATGGGAGGTCAAAGCAGTTGAAATGTGGCTCTGGGCGGTAGTTAGCTGCCAAGTCATCCTTGGCAGGTACCTTGGCGGCCGTCCCGCAATGAGTACCGTGGCGGCACCTTGGCGGGGCATCCCAAGGAAATCGTGGTCGAACCTGCTTGCCAGCACGATGGCCGCCGACATCCTGTAATGTCCGCTTGGGCGGGCTGCTCTGCATGTCCAACCATCGATTGCAAAACAAGTGAACGACTCCACTGCCACTACTGCGATGCTCCAACAGCCAATCTACTCGTCCGACTCTGGGAAGCACCTGATCGACGGTAGAGGAAGAAGGGATGCCAGCCTGAATGGTGTAGAGCAGTGCAAAGCGTGGAGAGACGACTGTCAGCAAGCCGCAACCGGACAGTGGACATCGCACTCTGATCTCGCCAAGGTGCCGCCAGCATCGCCTTGGTAGCATCGCCCACTAGCCATGTTTCTTCTGCTTCGAGTGCCGACGACGTTGGCGGCTATCTTTGGCGAGATCCTGAGCTCTGCTTGACGCGCACTACCGCCAGGGGTTTGTCAAGGCGACGTCGGCGGCATCGCGACGGCGCCGACGTCGCATCGTCTTGTACCACCGCCCGCTTACCCCACCTGCGATTTGTGCGCTTTGACTCCCGACACAAAGAGATAGGGAAAGGGCCGCAAGGAATCGCGTCGATGTCCTTCTTTCATTGCCATGCCGTCCGTCGTGCAAAGAGAGTCCGAGAGAGTACAGAAACATGTCCCTGAAGAAGCGCGAGCGGCGTGGGTAGATGCGCGAAGAGCAGAAGCATGGACAAGGGGGGAGCAAGCGAACAGGACATGTCTAGGAAAACGAAGGTGGCAATGTGTGTGCGGGAGCGTGGGAGGCAGCAGAAGAAGCGGTGGTGGTGGTGGTGACGAGGCCGCTGCATGACGAGGCGCGGCGTGGCGTAGCGTGGCGTGACGAAAGGCGTGACGAAGGACGTCGTGTATGTACAAAGGCTGGGGTCGAGACGTCGGCCAGGTTTCCGACGGCCGGTGCGAAGGCTACTGCTCCTTCTGCAGCTCCTGCATCTGCACCAGGTCGGCGTAGATGCCCTTTTTGGCCATGAGCGTCTTGTGGTCGCCCGCCTCGGCGACGACGCCATCCTTGAGGCAAAAGATGCGGTCGGCGCGCGAAATGGTGCTGAGGCGGTGCGCAATGGCAATCGTGGTGCGGCCGCGCGACGCCTTGTCGAGCGCCTCCTGCACCACCTTTTCCGAGTCCGAGTCGAGGGCGCTCGTCGCCTCGTCGAGCAGCAGGATCTTTGGGTTGCGGATCAGCGCGCGCGCGATGGCGATGCGCTGCTTCTGCCCGCCCGAGAGCTGCGTGCCCTTGCCTCCCACCTCGGTGTCCCACTTGTCCGGCAGCGACTCGATAAAGCTCAGGATGTTGGCCTGCGCCGCCGCCTCGCGCAGCTGCTCCTTTGTCACCGTGTCGGCGTCCTCAAACGCGCCCAGTCGGATGTTGAACTCGATGGTACCGTCGTAGAGCGTCGGCTCCTGCGAGACGAGCGCCATATGCTTGCGGATCTCCTTGAGGTTGAGCTCCGTCAGATCGTGGCCGTCAATCTTGACCGAGCCGGAGACGGTGTCGTAGAAGCGCTGGATCAGCTGGATCGTCGTCGACTTTCCGCAACCGCTGCCTCCCACCAGGGCGCAGTATGTGCCCGGCTTGATGTCGAGCGTCAGGCCGCGCAGCACGCGCACCGAGGTCCGCGTCGGGTAGCGGAAGTGGACGTCCTGCAGCTGGACGTGGCCCGCGACCTGATCGAGCACCTTGCCCTCGCTCGACTCCGAGTCAATTTCGGGCACCATGTCGAGAAGCTTGATACTGTCCCACGCCGCCGTCTTGGCGTTGGAGATGTCGGGCACAAAGTTGAAGACGTTGCCCGCCTGGATCGATCCGAAGACGACGGCGGTGAAGATGGTGAAGAACTGGCCCGAGCCGTACTCGCCGGTGCGCAGCAGCTGCGAGCCGTACCAGAATCCGAGCGAGATGACCCAGAACGACAGGGCCTGCGACAGCGAGTAGAGGGCATTGCCGTACAGGGCAGTGTTGCGCGAGATCCTTCCCGGTTCGCGCAGCTCCTCCCTGTAGATCTCGAGGCAGTTGTCCTCGCGCGTCAGCGAGGCGACGGTGCGGATGGCCGAGGCGGCCTCGCAGGCGCGCTGCGCCGAGCCCGAGTGGGCCTTTTTGATCTTGGCGTCCTTGAGGACGACGAGCTTGAGGCGGAAGAAGCCCGCCGAGAGCGTGAGCGGGATGCAGGCGATGACGACCAGCGCCAGCTTCCAGCCGTAGATGAGCGCGATGATGGAGCCCGTCAGCAGCGTCGACAGCGACTGGATGATGGTGCCGAGCGTGACGCCGACCAGGCCATTGATCTTCTGCGAGTTGTCGGCGAGCGAGTTGGAGAGCGAGCCGGACGAGTGGCCGTCCTCGTCGTGGTAGTGGACGTCGGCGCGGAGGTAGGCGGCGAAGCTGAGCCTGCGAAGGCGCTCCATGAGGATCGAGCTAGCCAACATCAGCGTGTTTGTCTGGATCGCGATGGCGACCGACGACAGGATGGCGATGACGAAAAAGTAGAGCGCCCACTTCTCGGATCCAGCCAGCATCGTGCTCCTCTGCGGTTCGGGGCATCGGCCGCCGCCGCTGCACAGCGAGTAGTTTTCGAGAGCGCGGCCGAACAGAATGGAAAAGGCGGGGTAGGCGGCTCCCGAGGCGATCGAGGCGATGACGCCGGGCAGGTACAGCCGGACGAGCTGGTCGCGGTTGACCAAAGCCAGGCGGTAGAGTAGCCAGAAGATGCTGGGCACCTTTTCGCTGCCGGTGTCGCGGTCGGCCTCGCGCTTGGCCAGGATGGCGCTGGTGACACTCTGCTTGGACATGGCCCGGTCAAGGCCGGCGGGCATCTCTGCCTTGGCCTCCTCGCGGATGGCGTCCTTTTCGCCGCGGCTCAGCTGGCCCTTGAGCGCCAGCCCGGCATCGTCGGCGTTGCCAGCCGCGCTGAAGTCGTCGCTCTCGTAGAGGTTCTGGCTGTCGACGTTGGCCCGGATCCGCTGCGAGTCGACCAGCTGGGCGTAGGGGCCGGCGGCGGCGAGCAGGCTCTCGTGAGTGCCCGTCTCGAGGATGACGCCCTTGCCCATGACGACAATCTTGTCGGCCGTCTTGATGGTGCTGAGGCGGTGCGCGATGGTGATCGTGGTCCTGCCCTCGCTGGCCTTTTCCAGAGCGTCCTGGACGACGGCTTCGGACTGGGTGTCGAGGGCGCTGGTGGCCTCGTCGAGAAGGAGGATGCGCGGGTTCTTGACAATGGCGCGCGCGATGGCGATGCGCTGCTTCTGACCACCAGAGAGAAGGAAGCCACGCTCGCCGACCATGGTCTTGTAGCCCTCGGGCAGCTGCGAGATGAAGCCGTGGGCGTTGGCCTTCTTGGCCGCCTCGACCACGAGCGCCTCCTTCTCCTCGGCCGAGGCATGCTCGAACGGCGTGTTGATCAAGCCGTGGGCGATGTTGCCGCGGATGTCGGTGGCGAACAGGGTGGGCTCCTGCGATACGAGGCCGATCTGGGTGCGCAGCCACTTGAGGTTGAGGGACTTGAGGTCGATGCCGTCCAGCGCGGCCACTCCCGCCAGCGGGTCGTAGAACCTCTCGACGAGCGAGACGATGGTGCTCTTGCCCGAACCAGAGGCTCCGACCAGCGCGGTGACCTTGCCGGCGGGCACGGTGAGGTTAAAGTTGTCGAGGATCGTCACGTCAGGTCGGGCAGGGTAGCTGAACTCGATGCCGGTGAAAGTCAGCTCGCCGTGGCACGAGTCGGGCTTGAGCCCGCTCGGGTCGGCCGAGTCGATGGCGGGCACGCGGTCGATGGTCTCAAACACCTTGGCACCGGCGCCAAAGGCGTACGAGAGCGCCTGCATGTTGGGCGCCATCATGGCCATGGAAAAGGCGCCGATAAGGATGGAAAAGATGACGTTCATGACGACGCCCGCAGCGATCTCGCCAGAGGCGACCAGCTTGCCGCCAAAGTAGAAGGCCAGCGCGTAGCCCGAGTAGATGATGAAGAAGAAGACGCCCAGGCCGGCGCCCTGGACCATGGCCTTGCGCACGCCGACCCTCGTGGCGCGGCGGTTGAGGTCGTGGTAGAGGTTGACGAGCTTGCCCTCGACGCCAAACGCCTTGGCGGTGCGGACGGTGGCAAGCGACTCTTCGGCGATCGAGGCGGCCTTGGAGACGTGGTCGAGCTCCGACTGCTGCAGCTTGGCCACGACGGCGTTCATGGCGATGCCGGCGGCAATGATGCACGGGATGATCGACGTCATGACGAGCGCCAGCTTCCAGCTCCTCGAGTAGGCGACGGCGAAACCGGCAACGAAGGCGGCGATGAAGGTGACGCTGATGGGGATCTTGTCGCTGATGCCCTCCTGGATCAGCTGGATGTCGGTCTGGATGCGCGTGGTGATCTCGCCGGCACCAAGGATGTCAAAGTAGCTGATGTCCTGGCGCAGCACGGCCTGCAGGTACTTTTCCCGGATCCGCCGCGTGATGGCCTCGCCCGAATACACCCACGAGGCCATGTAGATGTAGGTGGCAGCGAACATGGCGATGCCGATGTAGATGAGGAAGAGGACGCCGCGGAGCACCTCGTCGTCGAGGTGGCGCCGTGCGACATCGATGTCGCCCTTGCCTGCGGCGGCATTGCTGAACTCGAGGAAGGCCGTCGTAAGGTTTCCGAACACCTATCAGGGGTGGCAACATGGGGAACGAGGAGGAGCCAGGGTCAGCGCCGACCGGCAGGCGTGAACGCAGCAGGTTGGCCGCCGCAGCACGGCCGCAAGGCAGACCGAGCACCGCAGCCACACTCACGATGGTCATCAATGGCTGAGCGGCACCAGCGACGGCGGCGGCAATGATGCCGCACGAGTTGAAGAAGATGTCCCACTTGGTCGCGTAGCGGAAGAGTTCCTTGAAGCCGACCTTTTTGGCGGTTCCGTCGCCGTCGCCACCCTTTTTGGCCTTTTTCTTCTTCTTGCTGCTGCCGCCCTTTTCGCTGAGACTGGCGTTGCTGCTGCCGCTGCTTCCGTCGTCGTCACCGTTTTCGGAGGAGCTGGAGGCGGATCGGGTCTTTTCGCGGCTGGGCGTCATCTGAAGGGCGACGCTGCCCCCGCGTGACGTGTTGCGGGACACGGCGGCGGCCGAGGCGGCCGGTAGCGTGTCGGCGGCGCGCTGCTCTGCAGTCGACGGGCGACGGTGGTGATCGTCGGTGTTGCCGTGATCTTCGGTGGCGGCAGGAGCGATGTCGTTCTGGGTGGCGATGGCGGGCATGGGATCGCTGAGAATGGCAGCCTCGGCCTTTTTACCGCCAGCGTCGGGCTCGGCGGTGGCGGTTAGTTCATCTGGCCGGGACGTGGTAGGGTTGACCGGGGCCGAGACAGCCTCGGCCATGCCCGGGTTGGGCTCGGCCATCGCTGGACCCATGGAGCGCTAGGCTAGTCGTGGGGCGGATGGGCCTGCTGCTGTCGTCGTGGTCGTCGAGGTCGGCGGGACCGTCGTCGTGGTAGCGCCTCCCGATTTCGATCTGCCAACGATCAATCGATGCGCTGCTGGCTGTCTGCTGGCGCTAGGCGTGTCGAAGTGTCGCAGAGGTTGTCAATCGCTTGGGATCCAGTCGCTTGCGTTGCCAGTAGTTGCAGATGCTGCCGAGAAGCGGACGAGAGGTGAGCGGCAAGATCGTGGTTCTAAGGCAAAGTCGTCGAAAGGCCGTGTGGCGAGGAGCACGAGTGGCAACCTGATGCAAGCTGGACGAAGTCGGATGGCGTCGAGTGGCAGGTGTCGTCAGAAGGAGCACGGTGGGCGGAGAGCAGGCAGGATGGTGTCGTGTAGTCGTCGGGGAAAGGGGGAACGAGGAGGTGACGGGCTGGATCAGGCCATGGCGGCAATTGGATGTTATACGAGGCCCCGGGGAGGAGGCGAGGGTGGTCACTTCAGGCTGAGTCGGCAGGTCAGAGAGTGGGCAAGGCGAGGCCAGGCGAGGCCAGGCGAGGCGTACCAGCCAGGAAGGCCCAGGAAACCAGCACTACGGAAGCTAAGCAAGCAAGCCGGCGAGGCCGGGGCAGGATGAGGGCAGCAAGCAAGCGAGCAGAGAGCAGGCAGGGGTCCTTCGGAGCGAGACCGCGGAGATGCACGCACGAGGTCCAGGCAGGCTGCCAAGGCGAACCTACATACTGTAGCCCTCTCGCCTGCGTTCCGCCCCCCACCCCCCCCCTCGGCCTTGCCCTCTGCCGCAAGGGCCGTCGAGACCGAGCCGATATTGCTGCCCACCCGGCTCCCGAGTTTTGCGACGATGCATGCATGCATGCACGCAACGCAACGCAGCCGCCACACACGACGGCGCCCACGCGGCGGCATGAAGATCTTGCCGGCCCGGGCCCCCTTTTCGCGACCTTTCCTCCTCGGCCAAGTCCACGGAGGCTGTGGCGCACGCCCCCTCGGCCTGCCTGCGACCGAGCGACCCCGCTCTCCGACGGACGACGGGCTGCATGCTCGTTCGGAACGCGGAACAAAGCAAGCGCTGGCGACGACCGAGCCGACGTCGGCCCTGCGTCTGGTGGCCCGAGATGGCAGCGGGTCGATCGGGAGGACCTGCTGGCGCGCTCCGAGGCGGATCCCCGCCCTATCCCTAGCGAGCGGGCTCGCCCCGAGCCCTGCAACACAACAGAGATAGACGAACGCATACGCGGATCGTCGACAAGCCGAGGAGGAGACGTGACTCGAGGCATGACTAGGGGCGTGACTCCAGAGAGGCAGATGCCAACGGAAGCCTTGGGAGGCCAGGGCCCTCGAATCGGGTCACAAAGGCAACGACCAAGCAAGCAAAGTTTGGCGGTCGCTGCGAAAGCTTGGACCAGGCAGGAAGGGCATGGGGGGGTAGCAGGGGGCTGATCGCGGAGTACAAGGCAGCGGAGTCGGGAGCGAAGCTGTGGCCGGTCAAAGAACGTCGGGTGCCCGTTGGTGCACCATGGTGGCGCTCGACAAGTCCAGGCGGGGGCGGTGTCGACGACGACAACGGCCGCAGCCGTGCTCCCCGGCCTGCTTACGGTACGCGCACTAGAGAAGAGTGGGGTGCGACGCTGTCGCGGACGCGGTCCAGCCTCTTCCGATCGGATATCCGCGGACCATCCAGGCGATGCGGCAAACAACGTCGCTGCGGTGCCATACACGCCAACTCAGAGCACACCAAGCTACGACCCCGCTGGCGGGAGCGATAAGGTCGTACCGCACCTGTGGACCATCATCCGCAGCGTGGGTGGAGAAGCACGCACGCACGCACGCACAGTGCAAGCAACAGAGTCCGGATCGGGTGCAGTCTGAGTGCTGTTGGCAGTCGCCTGCCGTCTGTCTGCAAGGCCAGATCTTCTCTTCTTAGCAGGACGGCGGGGCGGTCTTTAGAACCCCAGCTCTAGCCAATGGCGGGCGAGACCATCGTGCAAGGCACAGCGGTGGATCGAACCCGTGAGGCGGCCAATCGACGTCTAGACCGTATACGGTGCCAGCGAGCGTCGGGTCGGTATCAAAGCATACACGATCAGATCGTGGTCGAGATCATGACTCTCTGTGAACGACCTCGACTGCCTGTCCTCTCGCCACGCATTGGCTCCCTTCGTCGGTGCAGCAACTCGTGCCTTTACAGCTAGGCCTGGCACTGAGACTTACATTGCCTGCCTCGTCACCATCCTCTGAAGGCGTCTGGCTGGACCGGCGGCTGGGCGGGCAAAGCCGGCCTGGAGGTGCTCATAACCAAGGGATCCGGCTGCCGCCACGTGATGGGCGCCGCTCGCGCGTCGTCCGCCGGCTGCGTTGTTCGGTGGGTGGGCCGGGAAATGCAGGCAGGTCGGTAGGCAAGCAAGGGTAGGCCAGGCCAGGGTGCGGGCAAACAAGACAGGGTCCAAAAGGGCCTACTCTTAACCCCATCGCCTAGCCAGCTCGTCCGGGCCCCGGCTTTGCCTAGCATCTCTGCCATGTATGTACATGGTCGTGCATAGTCTACTTGGCCCCGCAATGGATCCATCGAGACATCGCCGGGTCGTCGAGGTGCAGATCAGAGGGCAGCTTGCTCGCGAGCACGCCGGGTCGGGACGGTGGAGCTGGGCTCGAGGCCGGGTGGCGGCTGCGCAGCGAGATCCGAGACAAACAACGGCCCGCCAGACTGTCGGCGCGATGATGACGACGGCGGTCGCTCGTCTCGCCACTGCGCTCAAACTATCCTCGAGGTTTGGGGAACCTCCTCCTCCTCCTTTTCGTCGTCACCCTTGGACGGTGTGGCGGCGTGCAGAGATTCACTTGCGTGGACGGGGGCGAGCGACGGCATCGGTCGAGAATGCGAGGCACAGCGGCCGGACGAATCGACATTCTTGATTGTTGCGACTGGCCGACGAGCCATGGGCGATCTGGTGGTGTCGAGCAGCTTGGCTGGCCAAAGCTGGCTCGCAGCGCTGTTTGTTGTTTTTTCGAGGCTTTTTTGGGACGATATCGCCCGCTGCCCGTCTGCTTAGCTTGCTTGCTGGCCTGTCTGCGCTGGGCAACCAGGCGGCAGGCTGCTGCGCGGGTCGCTGGAGAGGCGCGTGCAGCACGCCTACCTTCTGGCCTGTGGAACCTCCACTGCAGGGTGGGCGGATGGGGCCACGCAGGCGGCGGCGGCGGCAACCCGCACCTGGCGGTTTGCGGTCGGTATGCTCACTGCTTGCAGCGGCCGGCCTGGTGCTGGCCAACACCATCCTCGCCTCCTCCTCCTTGGGCCCTTCGTCGCGACCTCAACCCACACACCCGCCCATCCGACCGACTCAACCCTGCCCGCCATCACGATACCCACCACTCACCCTTCTCGGCCCCGGCGCACTCATCCTCGTCTCCTCTGCACTCCATTGCACTCCTCTCGTCCCCTCTCGTCTCTCCTCTGTGCTCCTCCTCGCCTCGCCCCCAGATACCCTCGTCAAGGATCAGGGCCACCATCCTGCGCCTCTTCCATCTTTCTTCGCCCTCCCCTCTCGTCCCCCTCCGATCGATACCTGCTGCATCGCCCGACCCGGCTAGATACCTGTGCTGCGCCCTCAGCTGCTCTCTCCTAAACGCCTGGCTCATTCTCTGTCCCCGCCACTCCACCAGCCGACGTGACGCCTCGCTCGGCAGCTCCTTGAGCACCCCTTACGGCCATATTCCAGCGTCGGCCGCTTCCGAACTCACCTCCGCTACCTTCACACCACCCCGCTGTTCTCCGCCACGACAGAGGTCCGGATCATCCTGACTGCGGTTCTTGCGCGACACTCGTCCGAAGGACACTACCTCCCTCCATCATCCAGCGGGCCCACCGACTGCGTCATCCACGACCGACTGGGCTTGCTGCTCTGCTCGCCGCGCTGCGCCGCACAGCTAGCCGTCCCGACACGGCGTCCATCGGACGTCTCCGACACTTGTTAGTCCCTCGGTCCAATTGTCAGCCAAGGTTGATCCGGACGGCTTCGCCACGCCTGTGTCCGAGTCCACGTCTGCGCGGAGGGTGAGCCGCGACAACAGGCATGAAGCTCTGGCGCCAGCGGCAAGAGGCCAAGGGCAAAGGCAAGGGCAAGGCCATCAGCACGGGCATCGGTTCTGCCTCTCTCGGCGACCTCACCCTGCGGGATGCTTCCGACCCCACTGAGCGCCCTGGGCGGCCCTCGACCGACAGCGTCCGACCAGGGCTACCCACCTCGAGCAGCTCCAGGGTCGGCTTCCCCAGCCTCGGCAGCGACCGCACCCTGGCACCGCCAATAGCCACCCGGACGCGCGCCATCAGCGCCCCAAAGCTGAGGCCCAAGACGTGGGTCAGCCAGCTGATTGCAGCCGCCAACACCGCCGGCGAAGGTTCCGCTTCGGGCCTCGAGACGACCTCCCAGGCAGCCGAACGCGCCCGAGCGCAGTCCAGTCCGCGGCCCGTCCCCGTCAGCACCCTCGTCCTCTGCCGCGACAACGACGACAGCGACCGCGCCCAGGCCGAAGAGGCGCTCCGCTGGGTCGAGGCCGAGGCCGCATCCGACGCCGCACTGGCCCGTAGAGGCTCGGCCTCGGGCGGATCCGCGCTGAGCAGCGTGGCGCACAGCCAGTTTTCCAAGTCGGCGCCCTCGCTGCCGTTGACAGAGACCATCACCCGGTACCAGGACAACGGGGCGCTCGATCTGCTGCCGCCCTTGACGCCGGTCGCCGAGCCTTTCCCTGTGCAAAGGGAGCCCGAGTCCCCGCTCGTGATCCGCAACCTCGACGAGGCGCCGCGCGGTGCCTGGACGCCGGCCATCGACCCGCCTGCCTCGACAAACCTGCCCGGCCCGTCGCGCCTTCGCAACCCGTGGGAGGCGCGCAGCGAGGAGGATGACTTGGTCGAAGAAGCGGTGAGTGGTCCCGGGACACCGACTCCGGCCGCGCGCGCCGGCACACCACAGCCACACGCGCCACGACACAGCTTACTGATCTCCCCCGCGCTACCCGATGGGCACGTGTGCATCTCACCCGATGGCAGGTGGCAAGCAGCCGCTCGACGCACAAGCTCGCCGTGGAGGAAGAGGCGGTCCTGAGCATGCTCGACGCGATGGGCCGCCAAGCCGCCTCGGGCCACGCGACAAGCAGCCGACCACCACCTTCCCCCACCTCCGCCTCGAGCAGGGCGCCGACTAGCCCGGCCTCGCAGTACAGCACCGCCTTCAAGTCGCCTGCGCCGTCGGAAGCTTCCCAATTCTCGCAGGCTTCGGGCGAAAGTGAAATCGCTGCGGCACCGGCAACCAAGCTCGGCGCCGTCAAGGATGCTGTCAGAGAGCGAGAGGAGCTCGATCGAGCCGCCAGCGCCTCCAGTGGCGCAAACGATGCTCCAAACTCAGCCTCGACCGGCTGGCTGGCCCGCGGTTCCGCCCTCCGCAAAAAGGCGAGCTCGTACTTTTCGGCAATCGGCTTCGACGTCGCCGACGAGAACGAGGCTGGCGGCGAGGCCGTCGATGCGGCGGTCGCCGGCAAGGCGATAGGCACGGACGTGGCAACTGCGGCCCCGCAGCAGCTGAGGCCACCGATGCTGAGCCGCCAGACGACATCAGCCGCCCACTATGACCGCGGTGGGCCTCGGAGCGGGGACAGCGGCGCGGCGACCCCTGCCTCTCGCCATGGCGTCTTTGCCAGGATGCAGCAGGAGGAACAAGAGTCGGCGCAGCGCCCGCAGTGGGATGTCAAACGGCCGGAACTGCCGCACCGCGGCTCAAAGTTCTCCACCTCGAGCAGCATCGGCGGCGGCCTCTACGGCCGGCCTGCCGTTTCGCCGGGCGGGCTGCTGTCGCCCACGTCGCCCATGGATGGCAGCTTGATCTCGTCTCAGGACAATGCCACCAGCCTCTGGAGCCGGCCGGCGCACGCGCCCGACACGCCCAACACATCGCACGACCCACGATCGCCGAACCATGCCTCGGTGCTGAGTCGCTGGAACAGCAGCAAGTTTGGCGCTGCTGCGGCGTCTACAGCGCGTCCGGGCTACTCGCTCGATCCGGACAATGCAGCCGGCCCTGTCGGCAGCAGCAGCAGCATTCTCTTTCCGCCCAAATTCCGACGCCAGACGACCAACTGGACGGATGCCACCAGCGTCGCCTCGCATGATGCCGACGGTGACTTTCTCGACAAGGGCCGGCCGACGGTGACGGTGACGGTGACCGCTGCCACTTCGGCGAGTGGGTCATCGGTCGCATCGAACCAGGACTCGCAAGCACGGCACGAAGCCGTATCTACGAGCGACGCCGCATCGCGCTCTTCGCGCCGCGCCGCAAGCCAGAGCGATTCGAGCGCCGTCGGCAGCGCCGTCGCGTGCAAAAGCGTGCGCAGCGGGTCGGCCACGATACCGCCATCGAGCGCTGACGGTGACGTCGCCGAACCCTCGGTCTTCTCATCGCGACTGTCCCGGCAGGCGGATAGCGTTGGCCTGCATTCGGTAGCAGCCCCGGCAGCTCCGCTCAGCCCGATGCCTTCTTCTCCGACCAAGGCCAAGGACCTCATCCGCTTCTTCGAGACCGCCGGCAGCGCGACGCCGACTGGCTCGCCAAAGCCCGCCTCAAACCCGCCGTCGCCCACCAAAGTGAGCCTTCGCACCGCCAAAAAGATCCTTGCCGAGCCCGACGGCGACGCAGCTGCCGGCGACGCGCTTCAAGTCACGCCAAAGCGCCTGGTATTCCCACTCGGAGCGTCCAATAGCAACCCCAGCAGTGCCACTGCACACGATTCGCCACTCACCCTATCGTCAGTCTCGCCACTCGCCGCCAAGCTGCGTGCTGGAGGGGTCGCAGGCCGAACGAGGCTGCGCTCCAGGATGGTCGCTGCCGGCGGCGCGGGGCTGGACGGCGGCTTGGACGATGCGGACTTTTCGGACGAGGAGAACATGGCTCCATCGTCGGAGGCGACACCGGTCAGGGTCGGTGCGGCCGCGCGCAGGCGGCTCAGCGGCTCCTCGACGTCGACGATGACGCGGGCCACCGGGGTCCTCCGACCTCCCCTTGCAAGTGCATTCGCGCTTCCGAACGAGGGCCACGCGATTGGACATGTCCGGAGCGGGTCCAGCCCGGCGCCGCTGTCCTCGTCGCTAGCGGTCGGCACCGCCGCTCAACGCGGCCTCGCCGGTCCCTCGTACCGTCAGAGTGGAGGCGCTACATCGGATGGCATGGCCGCCACGACGGCCGCGGGCGGTAGCGTCGGCAAGAGAAGCGGAGGCGGCGGTAGCAACGGTGGGAGCGGCTTTCCCTTCCGCAGCAGCGTTCGCAGCATCGTCAACGCCATCGCCGGGCGCAACGTCGCCGAAGGTCCGAGCCCCAGCCGCAGCGCCGTCGACAAGCCAAAGAAGCTCAAGAAGGCGGTCAGCACTGGATGGGACTACACAAAGGAGCCCTGGGAAGCGCAGCAGGCAGACGCAGAGGCGGCCAGGAAGAAGGAGCAGGAGGACGAGGCCGAGGAAAAGGACGATTCGCTCAGCGTCGCCAGCAGGATGACTCTGGGCACCATCGCCTCGTTCAGGCATACGGTCGAGCGAGGCCAGCTGCCCGAGAGCGCAGCGTCGGCCATCGAGCTCTCGGGCGAGCCCAGCTCGACTCCGCCCGTCCGCTCCGGCGTGCTCTTCTACTTCAACGTCCACCATCGCGATCCGCACTGGCAGCGCGTCCAGGTGGTGCTGCTGCCTTCGGCGGTCGCCATGAGCTGGATCCCCGCTGGCGGAGGCAGGGAGAACGTGGTGCTCGACCTCCGAGCGTGCCGCGAGGTGCACTCGGTGCCCGGTCCCGAGCACCCCAGCAGCACGTCCGACATCGGAGCGACGTGCGCCAGAAAGCAGGGGCTAGGCAGGCTGAGCCCATTCCAGCTCATCTTTGACGACGGAGTCGAGCGCCTCGCCGCCGAGAGCGCCATGGAACGCGTCAAGTGGGTCAACTCGATCTGGGACGTTACCGGCGTCTCACCGAGGGACCGGCCCGACCTGTCCGAGGCGGGGATGCGCCCGGCCGCTGTCGATCTGAACGAGCTTCGATGGCCGGATCCGGCCGCGCCTTCATCCCGGCGGGAACCGCTGTCATCGATGCCGAGGGAAGCGACACACACGCGCTCGCGGACGGAATCTGCGATACCCGCGGCAAACTTGGGCCCCGGACGCTCCGAGTCCACCGCATCGCCGCGCAGGACGTTGCCGGCCAGCCGGTCGACCAACACGATGGAGGCCATCGACCGCATCGGCTCAATCTGGAAGAGCGAGCTTTCGTCCGAAGCCGATCCGCGCGAATGCCAGCCCTCGATTGCCGAAGCTCTGGCAACCGGGCCTCCGGTGCCTCCCAAGGACCCCGAAGGCGTGGCCGGTCCGGCTCGCCTAGCCCCGGCGATATCGTCGTCGGCGCTGGGTCGCCGGCAAAAGGTGCGCAGCTGGCGGAAGATGGTGCCGGATGAGGAAGGAGCTGCAGACGAGGGCTTCGTCCACGACTCGGCGGCCAAGATGCCGACAATGGTCCAATCGCCACAGCAAAAGGTCAAGTCGCAGCCCGCCTCGTTTGCAGACGACTTCAGCAGCGACAAGCCGACACTTGCAGGGACGGAGGAGATCCCACCTCGACAGCAAGACGGCGGCAGTGCGGGTCGCGAGCCGGGCAACATGCCGGATACAGCCGCCCCGACCGAGCTGCCAGAGGCGCAAGATGCGACGGGACCGACTCGCGCCGAGGACGTTGCCTCGCTCCGCGTAGCTGAGCTTGACGCGCCACCAGATGACGACCAGGGTGGAGCGGAAGCGGGAGCAGCAACGGACCGGGCCCGAGGCAGCGATGTTGCTTCTCTCGCCGAGGTCTCGCCGGATCTCGACGGGTACGAGTCGGCGCACTCGCACCCGAGCCAAGTCGACGAGTTCGGACCGCGGACACCGGTCAGCGAGGCCGTCTTCAACTGGTCTCGGCCCAAGCAGGACGGCGAGATCCGACCGAGCGACTCGGCCAGCCAGCGCCCGGCAAGGAGCGAGTTTGGCACCATCACCAGCCGGGTATCTATGGAAAATCGGCAGGCTAAGGCGGCGTCGGCGACGGCGCCGACTGCCACGGTCGATGACGCGGCACCTAAACTGACAGAAGCCAGCCTGACTGCGGTCGCGGAAGCCGATGATCGGACGCCTGCACAGAGGATCCGCGACAAGGTCCTCGGCAGCGTGCAGGAGCCCGCCGCACGCGAAGCGCTCGCTGTCGAGCTGGACGCCGTGGCTGCGGGTGCGAGGCCCGAAATGCAGCCAGCCCTCGCGCAAACGCTGGGCACGGTCATCGAGGAGACTCAATCGCAAGCCCAGAGCACCCGCGCCTCACGCCAGCAGGGCCACACGCCCATCCTGACCCAGCTACGCGACGGCTCCGAGGTCGACGAGGTCATCGCATCGTCCGATGTCATCCGGCAGAGCCTCAAGTCGCCTTCGGCAGAGTCTCGGCTGTCCAAGCGCACCGCCAGCACCTCGTACTCGCAGGACGTCCACCGGCTCCTCGAGCATCTCGAAGAGCAGCAACGCGCCCACATGGAACGGGAGAAGCTCATGGAGGACCAGATCCGAGGCTTTCAGGACGTCATCGCAGGCCTTCAGACCAAGAGCGCCAACGGGAGCATCCGATCGGGCCGCAGCCATCGGCGCAGCTCGGCATCCACGGCGGGCGAGAGTCGATCGACGAGCAAGACCGACCGCGACTCGGAGCTGGCCGCGATGCAGGAGAAGCTCGACAGCCTGCACAACCTCGTGGCCAACATGGTGACCAGCCAGTCGCAGCGCAACCTGGACGCCGGCGCGAGCGGCGATGCTCCGCCGCTTTCGCCTGGTCAGAGTCGGAGCGAGCTCGCGCGCATCGAGAGCATGCTAGAGAAGCTGATGCGCCACCACGCCTCGGCGTCCGGCGACGCGGCCACGATGCCCAGCGTGGAGCGCTCGCGTTCGATCGTGCGCGATGCCGTCCTCGCGCGGGAGCCGAGCCTGGTGCACGAGTGGGACCAGCTGCCGCCCGAGCTGAGGGGAGCCGAGCTGATGCGGAGCATGGAAGAGCGTGCCCGATTCGGCCGCGACGGACGCCACGAAGCCATTGCCCAGGACCTACTGAGTGTGCCGCCTCGACGGGGAAGCGCGCCTCCGATGGCCGAGGACTGCGGCAGCCAGGCGACGCCACGAGCCAACCTCGAGACTCCCCGGCCCGACGGCCTGCGACCGCCCTCGCGCGCCAGCATGGCAGCATCCGTGTCGATGACCGATCTCGACTCGGTGGCGGGCCGTGTGCCGGCTCGGAGCTGGATCTCGGCCGACGGCATCCCTTCTCCACCCCCCAACTCTGAATGGGACGCCGTCTCCATCCGCAGTCGGAGGATATTTACGCCGCCGACGGCAGGGATCTCCACACCTGCTCAGAACCTCCGCATACACGGCGATCCAAACATGGGCGCGACGATGCCGACGCCTCGGCCGGCCCTTGGGCCCGCACAGCCAAGCGTTGGCTCGGTCGACATGGAGGCCGAGATCCGCAAACGCCGAGCGCGCCAGCAAGCTGCCAACGGCACCGGGTCAGCCCAGCCGGGCGGCTGGTACACGCCGAAGGTTCCATTGGCTTCGGCTGAAACCGGAGCCGACATGGTGATGGGCAATGTCAGCTCAGACCCGCAGCGAGCGAGCGTCTCAGCCGCCGCTGCCGACACGCCGCGAGCGACGGACCAGCGCGGCGGTGTCGGAATCGGGACACCCGCTGTGCCGTGGGCGCCCGGCGGACCAGCGCGCGACCCGGGGAGGCCCAAAGCTCCTGGCGAGGACACGCCTAGCGGCCTCGGATTGTCTCTGGCGCGCAACGCCAACTCCGGATCCTTCGAAGGACAGCGTTCTCAGGCCGCTGCTGCCGACCGACCGCGTGGACCGCAGCAGCCAGAGGCTTTCGACGTGCGCAAGCTCAACGTCTCAAGCAAGAACCCGGAGCTGGCCACCATCCTCGAGGCGCTCAAGCAGAGCGAGGCGGCTCGGGAGCTGCAGGTCCGACAGCAGGGCGAGCTTGCCCGCTACGTCAACGAGCTGCACAGCTGGCTGGAGAAGGACGTCGCCGAGCGGTCCAAGGAGTTCAGGATCCTGGCTACAGGCGTGACGCAGCTACACGACGAGCTCCTCGCCACCAAGCGGGCGAGACCGCTGCCGCCAACTCATGGGCTGCCGCCGGCGGGGCTGTCGCCCACCAATGTGCCGCCAGCAGCGATGGCCGCTGCGGCAATGGGCAAGACGGGCTCCGCCTCGTCCTTCGGCCCTCGCGCAATGTCGCGCGAGTCGTCCGGCCAAACGGCGACGGCGACGGGCATCGAGGGCCTGCCGCCAAGCTCGGGAATGCCCATTCCAATTGTGACTCTGGGTGATGCGTCGATCCCGATCACCGGACCTCCAGTCGGCCCGAATCCGCACGACTCGGCCCTCACTGGCGCCGCACCAGCCGCAGCGTCAGCGCCGCCAACGATGTTGCGGCCCGGAGGCAGCGCCTTGACGAGCGCAGCGCCGCCGGGCGTGGCTCCCCACATTACCTTCGGCAACGGCGGCAAGTGGACCAACCTGCAGACTCCCAACCTCGACAATGGCTTCACGACGCCCGTGCGCACCAAGCGACAACAGAAGCGGACTTGGCACGCCAATACCCCGGCGGGGCCGCGCAAGCCCGAGGAGGCCTGGTACAAGCCCGACGACGCCGCAACCGGCGATGGCAGCAAGCCGGCCCAGGCCAAGGACAAGGCCAAGGACAAGGACAAAGCCAAGGCGAAGCGGCCTACGCCGCTCAAGAGCAGCAGCTACATCAGTACCGCGAGCGCCAGTAGCGACAGGTCGGCCAAGAAGTTTGTCGCGGCAGCCGGCGGTGCGCTTCTGGTGCGTGCCGCGCTGACAGAGTGGGAGGCGTTCAAGATGCAGCAGCGTGCCGAGGGCAAGCCGGAGGATCCGATCCCTGCGGGCGCCTCCGGCGATCCGGAGCTGGACCAGCGACTGCCGCTGCCTGAACCGATCGCCTCCAAGTTGCGCGATGCGGCCGAAGCGTGTGATCAGGAGGGCGTCACCAGCGCCGTCCGGGATGCTGCCCAGGTCGGTCTGGGCACGCAGGCCATTATCAAGCTGAGCGAGCATGTCGAGAGGCTCGAGGGCAACGAGCGCGCTGCCGCTGCGGCGGATGCCGAGGCCAACGATGGGCCGCTTGACGGCGACACGCTTGCGCCCTCGGAGGTGGCCGATCGCAGCGTGGGGATGCCGACCCCGTCGCCGCACAAGACGCGGTTCGCCGATGTGCCCGAGGAGATCGGCAGCGTCAAGACTACGTCGAGCAGCCTGTCGACGGACATGCGCGCCGTGTCCAATGGCGGGCCGAGCACGGGCGCGCTGGCCCTGGCGGTCGAGGAGATCCTCAAGCACCTGCTGGAGCGCAAGGAAGAGGAAAAGAAGCGCGCGGCGCAGGTGGAAGCCGCCAAGGCCAAGAAGGAGGCCGAGAAGCGGAAGCGAGAGCAGACGCAGCAAATGACGGCGGCGCAGCAGAAGGAGGCGGAAAAGGCCGAGCTGGTCGACATGATCCTCAGCCGCCTCGGGCAGGAAAAGTCGAGGCAGGAGGCCGAACTCGTGAGGCAGCAGCGCGAGCTCGATCCAAAGTCGGGTGAGTGCAGGCGTGGCGTGGCCGCACGACGATGGTAGATGGCAAGCCGGCCGTCTTGGCGGAGCCCTCAGACGCTGACCACCCCCTACCACCTCCCCCTCCCCGTTTTCGACCGCCCTGCAGCCATTGAGTCGCTGGTGACGATGCTCAACTCGCAGCGCGAAAACGACCGGGCGAGCCAGGCGTCGGCGGACCGTGCGATCAAGGAGATGGCGTCGTCGCTGCTGCGCACGACGACCGAGCAGAACGGCAAGCTGGTCGAGGCGGTCAACTCTGCCGCGCGCGAGATGCTCAAGCACAACATCAACGCGCACGCCGACGAGCTCAAGCGGCAGCTGTCCAAGGAGGTGGCCGTCATGTTTGAGGACGTTGGCAAGATCCGGGAGGCCAAGCGCGCGCTCGAGCACGAGATCGCCGACCTGTTTGCCATCAAGAGCCGCCACCTCACCTTTGACGCCCACGGTGGTGGCGGCGGCATGAACCTGGGCATGCCGATGCCGATGCCCGTCAACCACGCCCCGGCCCAGATTGCACCCTACTACCCGCCCGGCCCCGGCCCGGCTCCCGCTCCCGCTCCCGTCGCGCCGCCACAGCAGCCCCAGGCGCAACCCTGGCTGCCTCCTCACGCCTACGCCCTCGGCGGTCCGCCGTACTACCACTCGATGCCGCCGCCCGGTCAAGACGCCGCCCCAACGAAAACGCGAAGCGCACCAAAGAGCGGCGGTTCCAAGGCCGTCATCGAGGACAAGTCGCTGAGAAAGGCAGCCAAACAGGCGGCCAAGGCGGCGCTGGCTGCCAAGGTGGCGGAAATGGCCGGCACGGCTGCCGCTCCGGCCGCGGCCAAAGCTTCCAAGGCTTCCAAAGCAGCCAAGGCTGCGCCGCCCGCCGCTGCAGTGGCACCAGCTGCGGCGGCGGCACCGGCAGCGACACCGGCGGCGGCAGTGAAGGGTAGCCTGGTGCCTGCCCTCCTCGGTGGCGGCAAGGACATCCTGAACCCGTTTAGTATCAATTTCGGTCCGCGCGCGCCGAGGTGAGCCGGAGCGGCGGCCCAACCTCGGGTTGCTCTTTGCCAAGACCGACCGTCGTCGCCGTATTCCAGCAGAAGACTAGGGGCTCTCTGCCTGTCTGCCCGCATGCTTGCTAGACATGCTCGAAACACTGCTCCTTTCATACCCACGACCTCCGTTTGATCGTATTGTCGTCGTCGCTGCTAGACGGCGGGGCGGGAAACCGATGATTGTCTCTTCCAGCTACGTATCGAGCCTTTGCAAGATGGACAGGGTCGAGGCGGAAAGGAAGCCTTTGCTGTTCTATTCTTTCTGGAAGAGGATCGAGAGGCCCATGCCGCCGAGGAGGAGGTACTTGAGCTTGGGGTAGTCGTTGAGGGCGATGGTGACGTAGCCGACGTAGGGCATGTACCTGGCGAGCACGCAGAGGAGCGAGGAGGGCAAAGGTGTCAGATGGGCTGGGCGCGCGCGCGGGGAGAGAGACAGAGAGGGAGAGGGAGAGAGAAGGGGAGTGGGGAGTGGGGCTGAGCTGCTCACCCCTTGACCCTTCCGACGACGTTTTTTCTCTTCATCCACCGTGCGCCGTTGTAGAGGGCAATATCGTCTGCGTCGTTGTTGTCGCCCTTTGTGAGGAGGAGCTGGTCGCCGTCGGGGCTGTTTTTGGGGGGCGGGCGGAGGGGTGGAAAGCGAGAGCGCGATGTCGGCCCGATGTCAGCAAGGCGGGGCACGGTCTGGCTGCGCTGCGCAGAGAGGGGTGAGGCGCGACTCACGTATCATGGGTCTCGAGGACGCGGTGGACAATGGGGATGTCGGCGCCAGGCACCTTGAAGACGGGGATGTCGCCGACCTGGAGTTTGCCATCTGGCATGGACAGGAAGAGAAGGTCGCCGCGGTAGAATGCCGGTTCCATGGAGCCCGAGAGGACGACGACGACGGGCGACTCGGTGTTTGTGATGACCGAGAGGCCCTTCCACATTGCGAGGGCCGTCGAGATGACGGTGAGGAAGTTGAGGGCCTGCCATAGCGTGGCGCGGACCGAGAGGGTGCGGAAGGTTTGGGATAGATCGAACATGGTCAAGAGGTGCGGAGGGGTTGGTTGGTGTTGGTGAACGGGGAGATGAGGCCGGAGGGAGACGAGAAGGGGTGTGGGTGGGGGGGAGGGAGGTCTCTGGCAAGAGTTCTGGGACCAGAGGCCAAGCCAGCACGGCGTGCCATGATGCTTCTCGCTGGCAGGCTCAATCCACCCCCACCACCCGGAAGGCGGAACACAGAGCCGCACTGACCGCCGTCCGTTTGGCCGCCTGGTGCCCGCGCCTGCTTGCCCCGCACGCCCGCCCCGAAGTGAGTTAGACCCTTTCGGCGGCCCTCGGTTTGTCCCTGAAGCCGCAGGCCGCGCCCAACGGTAGCAGGCCAACCCAACTACATACCTCCACCCCACGGCCACCATTCTGCTCACCCACCACCACCACCACCCTGGCGTCGAGCCCACACTTCGTCGCTCAGCACATCGGCCACCAGCTGCAGCACCGCACATCCCCACCTGCTACCCTCCCCGTATCGGTATCGCCACCATGTCCGACGACGAAGACGACATCGACTTCTACGTCCGCAAACCCCCGCCCCGCAAATCCCGCCGTCGCCACTCGGGCTCATCAGTCCCGTCGTCCGCCTCGTACTCGGATGATTCCGACGACTCCAGGTCGCCATACGCATCCGACCGCTCTACCGCCGCTAAACCCACCACCGCGCAAACCGCCAAGACCTCTCAGACCGACAACTTCGATGCGCCCCTCGCCTCACCCACATTCAGCGCAGACGCAAAGCTCAGCGCAAAGGCAAGAACCACATCCCCTGTTAAGCGGCGGCGGAGTCCAAGCCTCACTCCTCCACCGGAACCGCCAGAGATGCGTACGTACCTTGCCAGGCCCCAGTCGCCCTAATTCGCTCTCTCACCTTCAACCGACCCCATCTTCTTCCGCCTGGTCCCGCGTCCGGTCGCCGACAGAGCTCAAGGCCGCTCGCCAGCTCGTACGGCAACACCTCGCCAGCTTCCACGCCCAAACCTCGTTCTCCTCGGACGAAGATGAGCCGGCAATCCGGCCTGACCCCTCGTCGCAATCACCCGAGACGACGCTCGTCCTCGATCCAGAGCTCGCGCGGTACTACCGCGGCAAGGACGCCGAGCGTGTACGCGAACACGCTAGGCAGCAAGAGGCCGAACGCCGCGAGCGCAGGAGGCGGCAGCTGAGCCAACGCCGCAGCGAGAGCGTCGGCGCCCCCAATGCCCCCGCCACCGGCACCGCAAAGGCTAAGGGTCAGGAGAGCATCGCAGAGGAGAGCGATGGCTTCGAAGTCGTACCGGGTCCCAGCCTCGCGTCCCCACCATCGTCGGGGAGCAAGAACGGCACTGGCGTCGGTGCAGAATCAAAGGGCAGCACGGCAACGTCGAACGGGGCCGAGGTCATCACGTTATCCGACTCGGAGCCAGAACCCGCGGCGGCGCGGGGGACGCATCCTGCTGGGCCCCCCTCGTCCTCCAACGACCCCTCTGCCTCCGCCGCGGCGGCGAGCAAAGAGTCAAACGAGCCGACGCTCCACCTCAGCCTCAAATCGCGCACCAACCACACTCTCAACGTGACGGTGCGCGCCACGACGCAGATTGAGCGCATCATTGCCCACTTTGTCGAGACCCACGCGTCGTCGCTGCCCTCGGAGGCGAGGGGCAAGGGCGCCATCAAGCTCGTCTTTGAAGGCCAGGCGCTCAGTGGCGACTCGACCGTCGAGGACTGCGAGCTCGAGGACGACGATATGCTACACGTCGTCTGGTGATGCCCTCCCTCTGCCCCGCCTCCCTTCCTCCTTCTTGCCCACCTGCCCTTTCGCTCCTTTGCTCTGCAACTCTCTTGTTTCCCCTCCCATGCCCCCACCCCCAATCCCCCCTCTTTGCCGTCGTGCCTCCGCTCTCACTCTATACCGCCCGAACAACCCCTCCCCCTTCCCTCCCTCTCCCTTCACTCGCCCCCGGTCCCTATGCGTAATGGAATGCCCCCCCTTTGATCTTGCTGCACGATTTCCCATCCTGTCCTCTTGCGACTTGCATCGGTAGACGGGTGGAATCCGATCTCGCCCTTTCCTCTGCTCTTCAGTGGCTAAGGTCGCACATGCGTGCAGAGGAGGTCCATAGATTAAGGTCGACAACGATGACGATAACGATGCTGAATACTGTACAAGGTTGTTTACACGGGTTCGGGAAAGGGGGGATCGGGATGAATGCGGAGCCCGTCCTGGTGCGCTTTGTTCAGTAACGGACAAGGAACGAGAGGGAATGCGATGGCGGGGGTTGGTGCCCAAGGTGCGTACCGTCCAGAGGGCCCGGGCCGGGACGAGGCAGAGGTTCCGATCGAGGGCCAAGCTGGCAATATCGGGCCTAGAGCAGGATGCGGCCCTCGGCGTCGCACTCGACCAGGCCAAAGCAGCACGGCTCGTTGGAGTCGCCGCGGCCCCGCATGTCCATCATGACGCCGAGCGTGGGCGGCGGCGAAAAGCGACGTGGACCTTCGCCATCGTCGTGGAGGCCCCCCTCGCTCTTCATGATGGGTGTCGCGGATCTGCCCGCGTCGGACACCCTCTCCGCCACACTCTCGTGCGCAGACGCGCCTGCGGCCGCCCTTGGCTTGCAGCAGCTCGCCGCCTTCGCCCTGCCATCGAGGCCTTCTGCAGCCTTGCACCCCGGCGGCTCCATCGCCGGGTCGTCCGCTGCCGCCGGTGTAGTGGCGCTGGTCGAGTACCTCTCCGACTGCCGCGTCGTCGACGACGGCCTGCAGCTGGAGGAGCGGACACCACAGCCTCCAGTCGAAGACGTCGAGGCAGGTGAGGTCGCAGATGACGGGTTGAAACCGCGATCGCCGCATCCATTGCGGGGTCGAGCCAACGAGGCTTCCCTTCGCAAGCTCGGATCTAGCTCGTGCGCCGCATCAGAGAGTCCGCATAGATTGCGTGACGTCGAGTGCGAAGCCATGCCGACGGCTTGTTTATACGTGTTGTGACCGCGCTCGTCAAGGCGTTGCGCATCGAACCGCGGCGAGTGCATGCCAACGACTTGAGCCCGGCTCGCTGGCTGGCCATTCGTCGGCGATGCGGCAGACGGGGAAGCAACGCCGGCATAGGGTTGTGAGAAGACGGGACCACACGATGTGGCTTTGCCAGCTCGATCCAGGCCGTCATTGGTCGGAGAGCTGCCGCCCTGCGGCGCCACACAGGACGCGAACGGTGACAAAGCTTGAGCTCCAGCCCCTGCTCCGTTCGTCCCTGGCGCTAGAATGGACCCGAGGGCCAGCCTTGCGCCGTATGCGTCATGTTCGTGCATGCGGGGCTGAGAGGCATGCTGAGACGCGCCAGTGTTCGGCTGATGTGTGGGCGGAGCTGAGGACGAAGACCACGCGGACCGGGGCTGCTGCGGTTGCTGACGGTAATACGCGACGGAGTGGTGGTACCCCGACGAGGGCGATTGGCCGGATGGAGGAGAAGGTGCCATCGCTGTCGCCGTCGCCGAGCTGATGGGCGATGCCGAGTGCCACAGCTGCCCAGCCCTCAAACTCTGGGCTGGGCGGAAGGGAGAAGGGAGATGCCGCGAGACGCTGCCTGCTTCGGGACTCTGACCCTGCCCCTGATGCCCACCTTGAGCGCGACTGTAGAACGGCGCAGTCATTGCGACTCCAGATACGGCGGCATAGTCGGGTGGTGCTGGATACGATGGCGAGGGCAGGCGGTGTTCGTGGTCGGCGAGCCTGGGTCGCTTGTGGAGCGGGGTCGAGTCGTCGTGGTGGGCGGAGAAGCCGCTGTGGCCGGTAGACGAGCTCGAGCTGTCGGGGTTCAGGCTGACGGCCAGCGATGAGGCGGAAGGCAGCGACCTCTTGGATGTGACACCGTCCGTGGCTAGAACGGAGCGCAGCGCGAGCATGGCCTCATTGAGCGCGGAAATCTGCACTTCTACGTGGCTTGCGGCGAGGGCCTAGGAGACAGGAACAGAAGATCCAAGGTGAAAGGGGAAGGTGGTGCGCTCTCAGCAACAGTACTGATGTCGGCTCCACGGGGGCGCATCCGGCATGGATGCGGTGGGGGGCACCACTCACGAGGTGCTCCTTTGTCTCTTGCAGCCTGGCGCAGTCGTGGCATTGTTGCTGTGCTGGACCATGGGCGGCGTGGCGGTGTGCGCCTGAGCCCTTGGGCTGGTCTTGGCATGGGTTCAGATTCGTTGGAGGTGTGTTGGCAGCGAGGCCGGGCTTGTCGTCGATGGACGGCTGCGGGGCTGGCTGCGAGGGGTCGAGGTTGAGGAGGCTGCGAAGCTGACCGTTTTCCTCTGTGAGGCGCTTGACGGATGCCTCGAGGTTGGCGAGGTGCTCTGCCTTGCGCTGTCGAAAGGCGCGCTGTGTCTGGAGCGAGCGGGTGGGCTCGAGGGCCAGGTTGGGACGTCGGCCGCGTCCCATGTTGCAGTCCGGAGTCCAGATGTCAACTTTGGTACGTATCCGAGGCGGGGAAGGGCGCTGCTCTACGCTGTGAGGTTATTGTCGCGGACCCATCGGGAGCTCAGAGATGCGGGGGTGTCGGGACGATGAGGACGGCCGACCTCTGGGGGCGATGTGAGATCTGCCCTTGCCCGGCCGTGAAGGCAAGGATGCGAGAACGAGCTTCGTGTCGAGAGGGTGGTGCTGTCGGCGGGTGATGGCAGATGGGGATGGAAGGGAGGGAGAGAGACGAATGGTGGGAGAGAGACAAAAGGAGACAGAGAGACAAAAGGAGAGAGAGAGAGGGAGAGAGAGAACGTTGTTTGTGTGTGGCGTGAGCAAGGCCCGGATCGCGAGGAGCAGGGCTGATAGTGGTTCGCTCTCGCGGCGCCCCTGAAGCAATGGCGGTGGTGGCGACAGGCCGAGGTGCAGAGTAGGGTGTACGGTAACTATATGGCGTGGATTCGATGGTGACTTCGGCACCGCCCGCAGGGTCTCGACGAGCGGGAAAAGAAGCGGCGCTAGACGGCAGACGGCCCGGCTATTTTTGGCGAGCACGGCTACCTACCACGGCGGCGGCGGGAACGTGCGTGGGCTCGGCAGACGGACAGCCCCAGCCGCCTGCCGCTCTCAACTAGAGTGTGGTATGTATGTACTAGGGTGGCCTAGTACCGCACGTCGACCGGCCGGCGGCTGCTCTCGCCTCGTTCCGCACTCGGGCGTGCCAGGCCGACCGCCAGGGCCCAGGCAGTCTCATGTATGTATGAGGACCTGGGGAGGGCAGGCCATTGGCCGATGCAGGCGCAAAGCCGCCGCCCGCACAACGAGGATCCATCCGGGAGCATGGAGCCAGGCAGGCAGACACCACCATACACCCTCTCCTGACAGTCGACGCACCGACAGCCCGCTCCTGGCGATGCATGGTCCCGCTCGACGGCCAAGCCTGGCCAGGCCGTCTCGATTGCTACTGCGGCCTAGGCTCTCCAAGCTACCTATGTAGCTAAAGGGCTGTCGCGTGGACTCTGATCGGCAACATCTGAATCGCGCCTGTTCGGAATCGCTCCCGATGAATATCGGATCGGGTCCCGTGGGCCTAGCGTGGGCACGGCTGGCCCGGCCTGGCCAGGCCAAGCCGCGGTTTGGCCTCGACTCGGAGGAGAGACAGGCCAAGGTCAGGCGGTGCTGCTTGACCCTAGCTACCGCGATTCGCGACCCGGCCTCGGTTCCAACCAAGACACGCGCACGTACGGCGGCGGGGCCCAAAACTCTGCCTGCCTGCATATCCAGCCTGCTGCGGCTGCCCGACGACCGCCAGGCTCGGCACCAGGTGCACACATCCCCTTCTAGAGTTCGATCGTAGGGCGGGTCAACCCGGAGCGGCCGCCAGAGATTTGACGTTGGATGCGCGGCTGTCGATTCCGTAAGGCAAAGCAGCCTTGCTTTTGGCCTTCTTTATCGAACGAGGATGGGCTGTGACGGGCGAGGCCTCCTATGTAGCTGGGCCAACACACGCACAGGCAGGCAGGCGGACGAGCGCAAACTTTAGGAGGAGATAGATGTACATACAGTACCTGTGTAGCACGCGCTACCCCTGGCCTACACCTACTACTGCCTCTATCTGATCTGCCGGCGTAAAGTCGGCAGCAACGGGGCGCGAGCAGGCAGGCAAGGCGGGGCAGGCGTTCGTCCCGCTGCGGCTGCCGGCCCATGCAGCCGCTGCAGGCGTGAGTGAGCGAGCAGCTGATCGCTTGCGCTCCGTGCGTACGTGCTTGCTTAGCTTGTGGCCGCCTGCGGCTTGCTTGGCGCGACAAACCTACCGCCCGCGGTACGTCCGCCACCATCACGGTCGGTGGACCTTTGCTACCTCTTGCCACCGTCCCGTCCCGTCGTTGACTTGGCCATCCTGGTCGAGCAACCGAGTACGAGCACGTCCGTCGTTGGAGCGAACACACACACGAGGCAGGCAGGAGGGGACACGTAGATTGCAGCAAGCAGCAGGTGCGAGCTTGGTGCGGAGCATCAAGAGGCCTGGCTGGCTCCAACTGGGCCAGCCGAATGACCTTGCTTGCTTGGTTTCGGCAGCCAAAGGGAGCAACAATACACCAGCTTGCTCGCTTGCTTTCGGGCCGTCACGACGACGTGGGTGGTCAGGTGCGCATATCGTCGTCGTGCCTTTGCCCTGTCCGCTCGTTCTCGTCTGCCTCGGCCTCTCGTTGCCGGCAGGAGGAGTTTACCGCCTGTATCACGTAGCGGCGTCACAGGTGGGTAGCTGGCCATGGGCGACCACGCGTTCGTGCTTGCGTGCGCGCGTGCGTTGCAGGCAGGCGGTGTATGTACAACCGTACGTCCAGGAACGCCCCATCCTCGCGTACAGCCTGGATGACGGTACACGTCCGAGGATGGTGGTGGCCCTGAGCACCTCCAGCATCGAGGCCAACGAAGCTCTACGTACGATACACGTTAGCGAGCAGCTGGCAGCACCGTGCGGCGTGATCGTGGCCACGAGCCCAGCCCGGCGTGAGCAGCGGCAACAGCGGCAACAGCGGCAGCAGCGGCAGATAGAGGCCGGACAGCCTCAGAGGGCGGCGCAGGAGGAAAGAGATCGAGATCGAGAGTTGCCTTCTCTGTCTCTGACCATCCGCGTGGAGCCAGCCGGAGACGACCCCGCCTCGAGGCTGCTCGTCCGCAGCAGCATGTGCATGCACCTTCTGTCGTCGGTGGCTGGACGGCAGGCGGGCAGGCAGGGCGGATTTTCGGCTTGGGCCGTCTCGCCTCGCCTCGCATGGCTGCGCCCGGAGGCGCACGCACGGCTGGACCGCCTCGATTTTTCGGGTCGCTCCCGGTGTGCGATGCGGGAAGCTGCGTTGCTACGGGGCAGGCAAGGCAAGGCAAGGCAAGGCAAGGAAGGCAAAGGCAAGGCAAAGAAAGGCCTTTGGACTTTGACCCGTCGAGCCTGTGGCTAGCTTCTTCTACCCGCCACCACGTACTGCGCTCTCCGTCGCCCCTCACTCCAGCACCCCCGCTGCGACCGCTGCGACCGCTGCGACCCCCACCGTCGCACACCGGCAAAGAAAGCGGCCAAGACCCCGCCTGCAACGCTCGACACAACTCGGGCAGCCTCGGACCATCCGATAGCATCCGACGAGCCCCTCTATCTCGCCTCGCCCTCGCCCTTGTCCTCGCCCTCGGCCTCGTTTTCATCCTCGTCCTCGTCCTCTCGATTGATAATTGCAGCTTGGCCCTGGCCCAGGCGCCCTGCCCTGTAATCGGACCTACCCGCAACGCAGCCGGCCAGGCTCAAGCCGACAGACCGACTCTCGACGCCCGCTCGGGACGATGGCACTTTGGTAGCCGTCGGCGCCTTCTGTACAAGGCCTTCTGGCGATCAGCTCATCTTCTGCCATACTCTCCGCCTTTCTCCGACTCATCACACCTCCTCACCTCCGCTTTGGCCCTCAACTCGTCGCGGCTGCCGCCCATGCCGCAGCTCGAAAAAACCGGGGCGCCGACGCTACCAAGGCGGTCGCGCGAGTCCTTTGAGGCCCAGCAGGTGCCTCGCTCCTACCATCACCGATCGAGCGGATGCGACTATCCGCCCTTGCCCAGCGGGATGCCCTCGCGCTGGGATGGCCCAGAAGCAGAGATGGCTGAACCTCCTGCGCCTCATTCGCCCTTCTATCAGGACGATGGCGGCCACTTTGTGGCCGCGGCCCCGGAACAACCGGCCCACCGCCCAGACTTCTTGCCAGGATGGCGGAGGCAATCTGAACCCGAGGATCACCCATCAGACTGGCCAGTCCTCGCTCAACGAGCCGACGACCTTCACCTTGCGCAGCATCAGCAGCAGCAACAGCAGCGCCGCCATTCGCTCGCCAGACGTCGTGTCGATGCCGACTATCCGGACGGCGTTGAGCGGCACACATTCACCTCTTCGACCTTTGGCCGTGCTCAGAGGCTCGAGCCACCACTACCGCCGCTGATGGCGCCTCCGACTGCATTCGGACGGCGCGCAGATGACCTGGAACCCATGAGCCGGGCTGATCGGTTGCTGCCCTCGCAAGATCCCATGCTTCCCCCGTCGGCATCTGCATCGTACCCTCGGGCGCTCTTTTCCAGCGTCGCGGATGTAGATGTGCGGCAACCCTTCGATGCGATGCCAACCCGCCGGCCAGGGGCCTCTCGACCTGCACCCGGTGCGACCACGCCCGACGTACTGCAACGGCCGGCCGCACCGTCTCCCTCGATGGCGGTGCTACCAACGCCGGCTTCGTCCGGCCCACCATCGGATCCACCTCGAGCTCGAGTGGCATGCACTTTTTGCCGCGCTCGCAAGCTCCGCTGCGATGGCGCCATGCCATGCCGCCACTGCGAGCGTCGAGCCATAGACTGCGAGTACGCCCCCGCCAAACCCAAGCCCAAGACCAAGGCTCAGCATCCGCAGCTATCTCCAGTCACGGACGTCAACACCCGTGCCGGCTCGGACCCCCAGCTTGCCAGCATACGCGATGCTGGCAACGGTGCCCACGGTCAAGTCCCTTCACGCATGTCAGCGATGGAACCGCCCAGGCAGAGCAGGCGTCCGAGCGACGAAAACATGATCCTGCCGGTAGCCGGCAATAAGCGCAAGTTTCTCGAGGGCCTCGATGTCGCTTCCGCGGTCCTGCAGCAGCATCGTGGCTTTGGCAAACGCCTCAGGGACGGCGATGGCAACGGCGAGGACGACGACGACCGGCGATGGGCGCCCTTCCCTGCCAGCCGCGACGAGGCCTCCCGAATGCCCTCCTCGGCCTCCTCCCATGCTTCGGACTTGGCCATGATCCAGAACGACAACACGGCCGTGCCAGTCCAGCCGATAATCTCATATCCCGAGACTTGGTGGGACCACACGGTGGCCGTGATAGGCGGTTCGCGGCCATTCGCTACCAAGCTTATCCAGCTGCTCTTGCGCCGCTTCGTCCAGTCCAACGCAATCTTTTTCGGCCTGTTGCATGCGCCAACGCTGTTGCGCAACGTCTCGACGCAGGAGGGCATCCGCAGCGCCGATCCGGCGCTCTACCTCTCGGTGCTCGCAGTGGCGGCGTGCGACATGCATCGAACCCAGCTGGTCGAACCGATCACTGCCGACCTCCGGGCCGCCGATGCCGCGTCCCGCAAGCTGTCGATGCAGCTCATCAAGATGGCCAGGCAGTATATCGACTCTGCGCTACTGGACGAGGCTGGAGTTTCGCCTTCGACCGGCCAAGCCGCCAGCATCTTGGCCCTATTACAGGAGGATGGCAGCTCGGAGCAGGTGGCCCTGGTTGGCATTGCCGAAAACATCGTCAGGTCATCCAGGATCCACGAGACGGTATCTTCGCGCGAGCCGGGAGTCCAGATGTGCGAGCCGGACTCGGAGCTGTATTGGCGCCGGCCGCTCGCATCGGGCTCTTCCGAGGCTGAAATCAAGTACGAGTCGATCGTGCGCCTATGCTGGACCGGCGTCAGCCATCGTTGTCGCAAGCTGATTGCCATGCCCGACCTCGATGTGCAGGCCGAGCGCTGGCCAGACTTTCTCGAGTCGGTCCGTCCAATGGCCTTCTGGGAACCATCGATCCTGCCACCGGACCTGCCACCCACCTTCTTCCATTCGCAAAACCTGATGCGATGTTCCGCAGAGGTAGCGCGGGTCTGCGTCGCTCTGGCGAGCACCGTGAGCACCTTGCAGAGCGACCTTGAAGGGCGGCCAGGAACCGCAGCGCCGGACGCGGTACACGAGCTGTTGCGGCGCCTCGACAAGCTTGAGTCCGCTTTCGTGCGACACCGCCCCACCGATGCCGCCGAGATGCACAGCATCCTTGGACGCACCTGCCAGATGTTCTGCAGAATGCACGTCTGGGCGCGGATCTCTATCTGGCGCAAGCACCGCCTGTGGACCAAGGTCGACGAATGGAGCGATCCTTTGGCGACCGCCGATGTGCCCCTGTCAAGGCAACTGCCGCCCACGGTCAACTACTGGATCGTCCTCTTCGACGAGATGGTGTGTGGTCTCTCCAAGGACCTGGACTCTTTCGTCGTGGCCGGCACGCTCCCGCAGACCTCGGCGGCCGAGATCGACTCAGTCATCAGGCACTGCATAGTCGCGCTCGACCTGGTCGATGCTTCGCAAGCGCCATACGACTTCTTGCGGGCGTTTGATCGAGCCGCGGCCGTCCTCAAGCGGGTGATGTCGGTGTCGAAGTTCAACCCGCACTTCCCGCAGCTCGACGATGCCATGGAAGGCAGGTTTGTCGCGGCTCAGGCGAGGCGCGAACACAAGAGGTTCCTACAAGGCGCCGCCGGAGAAGAGGGGCCGCCAGGATCGATTCTCAATCGCGTCTGGACCGTCCCACCTCCAATGCCTGACCCAAAGGCCCACGAGCTGCGAAGAAACACGTGCCCATCGTCGTCGTCGGCCTCGAGCATCTCTGCAGCAGGATCGACATCGACCCCGGATTCCAACACCGTGAGCGTGCAATCGCTCGAGGAAGAAACCATCTCGGCCGCGAGTCGCAACAATGTCTCTGGCCCGCATGTTCTGAGCAATGGCTAGAAGGCGACGAAGCCGACGGCGGGGCCGTCGATCCGCGGCCATGCCCACGATCTACTGCGCACCGCCAATCAGGAATGGTGAGTCTGACGATGACAGCTCCAAGTATCCGTTCGGTGCCCGAGCACAGGCATAGATCGAGCGTCAGCGGCGACGTTGATAGCGACCGTCCTCGACGACGGTCGACGAGGGACGACGATCATGATGAGCAATCATTCGACTACCATCCTTCTACGTCAGATCTGCGCTTCCTTTTCTTCTGGACACAGCGGAACGAGGGGGCGCGGGCTGTGGACGAGAAATCGACAGGCTATAAGCGGTCTTTCTGCTCCGTCGACGAGGTTCGCCGTCACCAGGCCGACGACGCGCCTTGCCGCTGCTGGATCTGGTGTCGGGAATCTGTCGACGGGGAGAGCGACCGTCACACTCTGAACACGTCGTTGATGCCTTGTTCCCAGTACCTTTGAGCCGCATCGTCCCGACGGCAAGAAGCGTCGTGGAGCTGACCATCCGCCACGGCCTCTCTCCATTTCTAGATTCCCATCAGCGCAAATGGGCCCCCAGCAACATCGCAGCAGAGCTGTGAACGTTTCCTGGCCTATGACCGACGCCGTTCTCCTTCTTCAAGGCCCAGCCAGTCCTCGCCCTCAAGTCAACACTCTCTTCGCAAGCAAGCTTCCCAATAATCGCGTGCCTCTCGTCGTCTTTGTCGTCTTCGCAGTCCCCTCTCGTCGTCGTCGTTTGTTTTGCAAGTCCCTCGCAGCAGCCAAGCCCCGCCTATGCACGCCGTATCTTCCTTCGTATCGTTTCGACCATGCCCTCCCTCCTCTCTCTCTCTCCCTCTCTCGCTCTCTATCCCAACCGTCCCGCACCGTCCCCCTTCCTCCCCGCTGTCCATACGCCGTCGTTCTTCTTCGCTCTCCCGCCCTCGTCTTTGCTCGTTCACGTCGTCGCATCTCGCTTTGCTCGCAACCCCTCTTCCCACCGATGTACCCGCTCTCTGTAGTCAACCCGTCGATCCTCTTCCTCGCTTTTCTCGGCGCTCGTCCGTTCCTCGGCTCTGCCACTCCGTCGGCTCTGCCACTCCGTCGGCTCTGCCACTCCGTCGGCTCGCCCGCTCCGGGCCCCGTTGTACTCCTCTTCCCACCGCAATCTCGATTTGCTCGTGTTCTTTGCCTTCTTCCCCTGAGATGCTGCACGGAGGACAAAGAAATCGAAGTGGAAACAAGAGAAGACTTGTATCGCTCAGCGATCCAGAAGGGGTCTTGTGTGCAAGCGGCAGCCAAGGTCATGCTGTCATGCCGATTCGGCAAAGTAGGGCTTGGCTTGGCCCGCCAAGGTGCCACCAAAAGGTCCATCGCAGCGCTTCCCGCCAAGGTGCCCACCAAGCGGGCCTAGGCTGGTACCGCCGACACCTTTGATTCACTTGCTTTTGAACGTGCTGACGCTTGGCGGGCCCCTCGCTAGGGGGCGAGTTGGACAGATGGACGAGAACGTGCAGAGCGTGGTCGGTAAGGGTTGGGCCGGGTTCGGCCTAGGTACGACAGGCAGACGGAATTGCGAGCGTCGGGGGACGGCCGAGTCAGGAGGGGGACTGGAGGAACGTCCGTCACGAGCAGGGGCGCAATGTCGCTGTCTGGCCGAACGGGCAGAAACAATCTGGGCTGCTAAAGAGAGGGCTAAGAGGGTATATGTACACCGGGACGACGCCATCGACGGGCTCTCTGCTAGGCGGTGCGTAGCTGCAGGAGAGTAAGATTGCAAACGGAGGGACCCGGATGACCATGAGGCCATGTTGGGCTCGTCCTGATCAATTTGGTCTTTGTCCTCGGCTCGGGACGGGCAAGGGAAGACATGGATTCGGGGCTAGAAGGCAGAGCGGGAGAGTAAAGGTGTGCATGGTCTTGCGCCGTTAGAGGCCGTGCTCCTTGAAGACGCAGTCGCGGTAGTCGAGTGTGCCCTGCTTTGTGGTGAGGATATCGTAGACTTCGCGAGGCGGATGCTCGCCCAGCTCCTCGGCGCGTTCCCACCGCTCCAGCCGGGTGAGACCGATGCACGGTCCATATCTGCGTGGCGCATCGATGACGATGATCAGCAAGGGAGTTGGGGTTGATGGCTGTGAGCGCGGACGGATCAAGTCACGGGAAGAGGCAGGAGAAAACGGGATGGAAGGCTTACGTGGGATCGAGGTCGAAGAGGCGCAGGATGTGCTGGATCCGATTCTGACCCTCGGCATGGACTGTACGGGAGTGGAGCGAGCGAGGAGAGGACGCCGCTGTGGAGATGAGCGACCACGTCGCTCGGAGATGTGGCACAGCCTCGACGAGTGCGAAAAACGTACCGGGCCTGACCCGTCCCATGGCACTCCTAGTTCTGTTCCAGATGCCGTCCCACCTGGCATCGTCGACGTCGAGCTCGTCCCTCCCCTCGGCCTCCTTCAGCAGACTGCGTTCATACTCCTTTTCCTGCTGGCTGGTGGGCGACTTGGAGGTGCTGTTGCCAGTGGTTCGAGAGAGGAGAGAGTTGGAGGTGCTGGACGGCTTGACGGGCGTCGACTTGAGCACGGAAGACGACAACGACGAGCGGGATTTCTTGGCCGACACTGAGAGAGCGGACTGAGAACGCTTGGGAGGCATGGCTGTAACGTCACCGACTCGGTGCACTTGCTAGAAGGATGCGTTGGCGTGTTTGTTGCGGCAGGCAGCGTCCTGGATGGAGAGGGAAGCTGGATGTCGGGGGAGATGGTGGTGCGGAGGTGGGCGGGGGAACTGAGTCAGCCTTTTCCAGGCGTTTATTGGCGTCAGGCGTTGGCTGTCGAAACACAACACACAAAAGCATGCGCCCGCCTGACCGGCTGCATAGGTGGAGGGAGCGGGTCCATCCACCCTTGCTTTGCTGGCTCGACCCTTAGACTCACTCAAGACACCCTCACTCTTGACTACCAACAAACGAAGATCTCAACGACCGTCTCCGGTCCACCTGATATGATGCGCAAGCCTCGCCACGCCAAGGCACAACCAAGTACACTCCTGGTTGGCGTCATCCCGCCGCGTGAAGCGTCGCGAGGCAGCATGTATGTCGAGCCGGCGTCCTGTGCCGGTGCAGCGACCATGCCAGGACGGGCGAACGAGGCAAAGATACAAATACACAGAGACGGCTGCCAACGCTAATCCACCGACCCACTCCACCGACGAGCGGCATGGCCTGCAAGCATGGTCCTCGACCTTCACTGGTCGCCGCTGAGCAGGTTGCGCACGTTGAGCGGCGGCGGTCTCGGCTGGTTAAAGAGGATACCGCCGCCGGGTGCACCCGGCGGCGGTCCAGCACCCGACGCTGCCGGCCCGTCCCAGCCGCCTGCAGGCTGAGGTGGTATCGAAGCAGCGTCGAGTTCCGCGTAAGGCATGTTGAGCCCGCCCGAAGATGTCGCCGCCGCCGTATCGACACCCGGCACCGTCGCTGGACCCGAAAGGCCCCCCATGCCAACGGCGTCGGCCGCCGGGAACCCGTCTTGGGGCCTCAGCATCGCGGTATTGTAGGACGCCAGATGCGAATTCGCAGAGGCCGCTCCTCCTGCCTCCGTCGCCATCAGGGATCCCAGCGCCGCACCGTCGTTGCTGAAAAGGCCCATCTGCTGGCCATAGGGCGCAGCAAGGGAGGCAGGCTGCGCGTCAAACGTGTTGAACGCCGCCAGCTCCATCGAGGTGCCGTAGTGATGCTCGTCGAGCACATTGACATCAAAATAGTTTGGGGCCCCCGAGACCTCGCTGGGGATCTGGTACGACGTGAGAAGCTCCAGATACCCGTCGAGATCCGTCATGCTCGGGTCGAAGAGAAGGTCCTGCTGCCGGACCGGTCCTTCGGGTGCATCGTCCTGCAAAGGCACAGGGCCTGGGTTGTCCGAGGGCGGAGCCGGCCCAAGCGCGGCGGCCGTCGTCGCTGCAGGCTCTTCAGGTTTCGCATCCTCGCGTGGATTGACCTGGCCCGCAGCTGGTGCAATCGGGCCCGAGGGGAGCGCATCCTCGGCGGCGAGTCGAGTGAGCTGACCACGTACCTCGCCCTTGCCCGCGGCCGAGCTCTGGCGCGACGCTTGGGGTCTCGTGCCCGCCGAAGAGGTTCGACGCAGTCCGGGTGTCGAAGCCGTGTAGTCCTTGCCTGGATGCCGTAGGTTCGGCCAGGTCTCGAGGATCCCTTTGGCCAATTGCGCTGCAATCTGACCTGTGTCGCGCGAGGCATCCGTGTGCGCGCGCGAGGATCGTCGCGTGGCATCGTTGTCGTTGTCGTCGGAGCCCGAGCCCGGTCTCGCTCGAGTCGACGATTCTTTTGACGGCTCTCTGGCGACCACGGTCTCGTCTGTTCGTTGCGCGTCGTAGCGAGCGCGGCGCGTCTTCTCTTCCTTGCGCAGCGACTTGATGACGTCGATCGACTTGGCCAGGATCGGGTTGCGACCCTCGGCGTCGGTCCTGGCCAGCATCATCTTAAGCCCGGACATGACATCGTTGGCCTTGAGCAGCACCTCGTCGTGCATCGGCTCGCTGCTCAGATTGACAAGGTCCACCTGTAGCGCCAACAGCGCGTGGAAGAGGTGGAAGGTGTAGACCCAGTAACGTCCGCCGCGGGAGCCACCGTGAGACTGCACCTGGTCGAGGCACCGCAGCAGTGCGATCACGACGCTGGCACCTTCGATGCAGGTGCGCGTCGAGTAGGCATACTTGATGTTGCTGTAGCCCCTGCCCATGTAGAGGCGATGAAGCATCAGCAACCGATGGTGGACGAACTCGTAAATCACCGCCCGCTGCAGGGCAAGGTAGGGCCGAGCGCGATGGAGCTGGATGACCTTGGGGTCGTACTCAGTCTCCCCGTCCAGGCGAAAGAAAGGCGGCAGGTTGTCGAGGATGGAGCGGAAGCGTCGGTCGATCTGCAGGACGACATCGTAGGCCTCCTGGCCGCGGTTCTGCGCATCGGCGATGCTTCGCACCGTACGGCACAGATCGACGTTGACCAGCACAAAGCTGTTGTCGGTGGGCTCGTACCACGGCTGGACGCGGTCGAGAAGGGAGGTTTCCCGCTCATTGCCGTCGTCGGACCCGTCTTGAGCGGACAGCGCAGACAGCGCACCGTCGTCGATGTTCTGCGGGGTCTGAGTGGTGAACCTGATAAGCAATTGCATCGGGGTCAACGCAGAGGATAGAAATGTTCAGCCATCGCAAGTCATTGCCTTGGCGGGCATGCGATTCAGATGCCAGTCAGGTCAGCTCAGCGAAACTCACTGCTCGTCGCCGCAGTGATAGCAGCGGTCGAAGAAGGCTCCGCAGAGCCAGTCCATCGTGACGAGGGCGAACCAGACCTTGCGCGCGATCTCACGCTGGAGGTGGTTGTGGTCGTAGAAGCGGGCCGTGGCCTTGTTCTCCCACCGCTTCTTCTGGCGGCCGCGGGGCAAGAACATTGCGTTGAGATCCAGCCGGAGCGGATCCATGAGTTCCACCTCGATTTCGCTGTCCGAGTCGTTGGACCTTCTTGCATCGGAGCGGCCCCTTTTCTTTGATCGCTGAGAGCTGCCAGTGCCGTTCGAAGGATTGACACGGGCCCCCGATCCGTCGTCCGAGTTGAGCATGAGCTGCGTTCGGCGCTCCTCGTCCCACCTGTTGTGGTCATCGACGGCGTTACCGAGTCGGTGCATGCCAATCACCTCGGCCGCCTTGATCGCCATGGTCGACAGGACAATGTACTCTTGCCGGAACTCGCGGTTGAAGCAGTAGTGGCGGAGCGCGACGACCGCCTGGAAGCCGCACAGGGTCGGATTGGAAATGAACTTGTCGAGTGAGAGGAGCGCCGTCGAAGCGCGAACGAGCAGAGTGAGGCGAGCGCAGATCTCGTCGCGCGAAGTACAGATCCCGTAGGTCAATACTTCGCATGGTGCAAGGTACTCGCAGGCGCCCTCGACCAGCGCAAAGAGCAGCGATGCAAACTGCAGGTCCGGCGCCTCCTCCTTGCCATCGGCAGCGGGGCGCTCGCTGTCGGTCGCCGCCTGCTGCAGCCGGTCCATGCGCTTCCAAAAAGCGTCGAGCTGAGCCCAGAGCGTCGGGACATGGAGGGACACGACGAGCGGCTCCGCCTCGCTGATGTAAATCTTGATGAGCGCCGACACGGCTTCGCGCGACGGCAAGAGGCCCACGAGCACGCGCAGATCGTCGAAGCGCTGACTGTGCCGTGGGACATGCAGCTCAACGTGTGGGAAGGGATGCATGTTGTCCAGAAGGGCACCGGCCGCCTGCACAGCTGCCACGCTTCCTGGCTTGGGGTGAAGCACGGGTCCCCGTGGCGACTGAGCTCGCGCAGGACGCTGATCCAGCGGCAAACCGGGACCGTCTTGCCCGTCGCCATCAGGCCGTGAAGTGTCGGACTTGAGATCGTCCTGCCCACTGTCTGGCTTGGCACTTTTGCCCTGTGCGGTTGGCGAGCGTCGCGTTGCAGATACTTCAGCTCCATCGGCCGCCTTGTGCATAGGCAGGGGCGAGTGCTCTTTGCGCAGCCGCGTCCCTCGAGCCAGGGCCTCAAGGACCTCGGCCGCATCCTCGTCTTCTGAGCCAGGGCTGTCGCTTGCCTCGCTCCGCGCGACCATGTCGGCGTCGCGCAACGCTGCCCTTGGATCCGGCTCGATGGGAGAGCGGCTGCGGTGGGCATGTGCCGCCGTGACCATGTAGCTCTGCGAGCTCTGCGGATGTGAGGCGCCGCTGTGCCTGAGCCCAGCACCAGCACGGTTGAGCAGCCTAGTCGCGAACCGATTTTGACCGTGCAAAGGCTCCTCGCCCGATTCCGACAACCCTTCAGCGCTGACGGCCAGTTGGCTGGATGACCGCTGCCCGGTGGCCTGTAGCGCTCGCACCTGCGATTCGAGCTGCGCAATCCTCGCCATCAGCGCCGCATTGGACGGAGTGATGCTGCCCGCCTTGGCAGATGCGATGTCGTCGCGCTCGTCGCCCCAGCGGCACATGTGCGCCACGCCCCTCCGCACGCAGCTGCCGCAGTTGGGAACGTTGCGGTCGCACTTGATCTTGCGCTGCTTGCACTCGGTGCAGCTCAAGATCGCCCGCTTCCGCCGTTTGGTCTTGCCGGCTCCCCCAGCTTCGCTCCATCCTTGCACCGAGGTCGTCGGCTCCACGCTACCAACAGCAACGGCCGACCTGCTGGTGCCGTCGTCGTCGCTGCTGTCTTTCAGCTCAGCCGCAGACGCCAGTCTTCTGCGAAGAGGAGCGGACGCAGCGGCGTCGTTGACCCCAGATCCGACAACGCCACTTGTCCGGGCCGCCGAATCGGACACAGAAGCAAGGGGTGGAGCCGAGCCGCGAGTCGTTGGCGCGGCGAAGTCGGTGTGCGCCGGAGTAGCCGAAGGCGGTGGTGGGTCTCCCGGTCTATCCGCCGATCCTGCGTCCGGCCGTATCCGCTTCCGGCGGTGCCCGTTGGCTTCGTAGGACTCGTTTTTCCAAGAGGCCGGGCTCCCGGATGCGGCGTGGCGACGCTCGCCCGAAATCGATACGTCGAAAGAGTGGTCAGCAGACACCTCAGAATACGGGTGAGCGTCGCCACCGCGCTGTTCGGTCGCTGAAGGGTGTCGAGGGTGCTCGGCCAGGTTGAAATGGGCAGTCGACGAGCCCGAAGATAGGGCATCCATGGGACGGACCCGGCTGTAAGGGTGTTGGGCCGATGACCAAGGCACGCCGCCAGGCTGAGGCCGAACCGCTTCTGCACCACCGCCGTAGCTCGCCGATGATATCGAAGGGGGGCGCGAGAAGCGAAATGATCCGGTCGCAGTTGGCGGACGACTTTGTCCGTCGTCGGCGAGATCGCCGTGGCGATGATACGGATGCGCAGGCGCGTAGGCCTGCTGATGTTCATGACGATGCTGCACCGGCAGCATGTGCATGTTGCGAGCCTGCTGGGGCGCCTGCTGATAGCCGAAATGTTGCTGGATTGACTGCGGATGGGTTTGGGTCGGGGCAGGCCTATATTGCTCGACGAACCCAGGTGGGTGCGTGTTGGTATCATGTGGATCTGCTTGCTGCTGCCAATGCGCCTGCGCATCCCAGGATGTAGAGGGTGGGGGGTAGGGAGGCCTCTGTCCGTCGATGGATGCCTCGCCGTAACGATCCGAAGCGCCGAATGTCGCGGCTGCGTACGTCGTCGAAGCCGAGGTGTCCATGTTGTAGTGCGAGTCGACTGCAGGCCTGTGGTCTAGTCTCCAATACGGCAGTCGATCGTCGCGGTCCTCGATTGTGCGAGAAGACGGATCAGACGCAGCGCTTCTGCGGGACGACCTTGCCTCGTGCCGATCCGACGCCATCGCTCACTGGGTCGTGTTCGGAGCGTGATGGCAGAGAAAAGGCAGCGGGGTCGTGATGGCGCTGCGCCGTGGCTCGACACGGGCGACGCCGTCTGGTGGCCACGCCCGAGGGGGATGCGTCGAAAGCGTCAATCGAGCAGTTCCCAGGCAGACGCTGCGGGCTCTGAAGAGAGCAAGGCAAGGATGTGCGTTTGATTGACGAAGGCGTGGTGCAGTGTGCCCAGGATCAGGGGTCCGGTGCCGAACGAGAGGGGTGTGGGTGTTGCTGTTGTGGTGGCGTGTGCGTGTACGGACGTCGTCATGACGGGTTGCTGCGGTGCTGATGGCGACGCAGATGAGGGCAACGCTGGCTCAAGACGCAAAGCGAGGTCGGACGGCTTGGCTACGTGGGCAAGGGTAAGGGTGACGAGGCCGGTGCGGCGGCGCGGTGGCCAACGCACGGAGCGAGGAGCAAGCTCAAAGTGGCAACGATGTAATTGGTGGTTCGGACTGCTCCGAGGGGCAAGCCGAACGGGCGATGTGAGGGTGAAGCTGGGGAGGCACTCTGGGCGCCGGGATGATGGTGGAAGCGGTTCTGAAGTGGGCAGCTTGTCGATGTCGGAGCCGCGTGAAAGCGGCGGTGGACGCCAAGACGGGATAACACTCGCGGGCGTTGGGGCTCGTTGGTGGCTGCTGCCGGCTGATGGGAAGGCGAAGCTGGAAGAGGTAACACCGGCTCTACGATGCGGGGGCGGTGGTATGTCGTCGAAAGCGAGCCGGTCGATGGTGGTCGACGGTGTGGGCCAGGAGCGGCCAGGAGCGAGCGTCGAGATCCAGGCAGAGAGTCAGAAGAGCCGCAGAGAGTGTGTAGCTGTAGTCAGGGTCCGTCGGCATTGGCCGGCGCATCGAACAGGCAGGCAACCACGGCCGGGCTAGTCAGGCAGGCCCCACACGCACGGCCAGACGGGCAGGCTGCGGGCAGGCGGGCAGGCGGGCAGGCGGGCAACCGCTGCTGTCATTTCGGTCCGTCGACCGAGGCCAGCTACAGAGCTAGTAGACTACCTCTCTCTTAGAGCTGGCCAACCGAGCCAAGCGATTTACGCCAAACGACGGCCAAAACGTACGTCAAACGGCATCATTTTCGCGGTCGCCAGCAAAGCGCGCAGCGGCGGCGTGCTTGGCCAGCCAGCGGCCTGCCAGTACGTGGCCTTACAGATCAACAGACAGACGCGCGTATGTGTCCAGACGGCCCAAAGTGGACAGCCAGCCGCAGGTCCCCCCCGCCTGCCCCCCTGGTTGCCTGTTTTGCTGCAGCTTGCGGCGGCTTCCGGTGCCGTCCGGCCCTTGCCACCATGTTATGCCCACCCAGACACCGCGCTCCCTGCGTGCATGCCGGACACCGTCGATGCGCTTCCGCCCCTTTGACCCTCAAAGCCACGCATGCCCTCAGCTTCATCTACCACGACTGCTAATACCGTAGCACAGCCGGCCTGTCCATCCAGCAGCGGTCGCATACCTCTCAGCCAGGCAGAGCGATGCACCCCTGCCCAGCGCACGCCAGATCCTCGGCCAAAACCGGTCGTGGGCTGCCTCATTCGCAGACCATGGTCATTGTCAGACGATGAGGAGCGCACAGGCGAATGTATAGATAGATGAACAAGGACGGGGCGGATCATAGACGCGAGTCGACGCCGTTGAGCCAGTCGCGCGGCAGTCGGAGGCCTGGTCTCTAATGCTGATGGTGGTGATGGCGGTGATTGTGACCTGCCCGGTCGGGTTGAGCAGAGGTGATGCTGCCGTTGCGTTGCAGCTGCGCCTCGTGGCTAGCGGCGTGGTTGCGCTGGTCCTGGTGCGGCGCTTGGTGGTCGTGGACATGGCCGTGCCCGTGGATGCGACCGTCGGAACGGTGTTCGCGCCCCTTTCTCTCGTGGCCGTGCTCGTGATTGTGTTCATGTCCGTGCGACCCGCAGTTGTGTCCGTGCCCTTGTCCATGTCCGTGACCGTGGTCGTGGACGTGGTCGTGCTCGTGCACATGGTCGTGACCGTGGTGGTGACCGTGGTCGTGGTGCTCGTGTCCGCCGCCGTGAACGTCGAGCTCGGCTCCATCATCTTCCCATCCCTCGCGCTTGACGCACACCGTCAGCTCGCCGGCGCGCAGCGTGCCCCGTAGCATTTCGCCTGCCTCCAGGCCGCGTCCTGCCCCGACGCTCGGCGCCACCCGCTCCCAGATCCACCGCGTCATGTCAAAGCAATCCTGCTCGGTGGCGTCGCGCCTGAGGAAGACGTGGACCGTGGCGATCAGAGAGGCCGACTTGCTGCCGTGCTGCACGCCCCGTCCCACGTTGCCCAGCATGCCGCCTCCTCCGCCTCGACCAGCGGCGGCGCCCGTCTGCCGCATCGAAGACGTTGGCGGCGTCAGTCGCCACAGCTTGACCGGCGCCACGTACGCCACCAACGGGTGCTCCTCGACTGTCTTGAGCGCGCGCGTCAGCTGCACCTTTTGCGGCACCTCTTCGCTCGGCGCAGTCTGCAGCAGCACCTTGCCCAGCGCCACGCTGGCCGGGTATGCCACGTAAAACATCGATACGCTTTCGAGCCCGGCGAGCACCTTGTCTAGCGCCGCCACCTGGAGCGGCGGCATCGTCAGGCCGGCAAACAGCAGCGCCGTGGAGAAAAACAGCACCGTCAGGCTAAACGGGTTGGCCAGCAGCACCAGCAGCGGCGACGCCAGCGCCGAAGGGTGCACCAGCACCGAGCCACTGCGGCCGTGGCTCCGCGTAGACATGGCGCCCGAGCCCGCGCCACCGCCAGAAGAGGCAGCCGTCGAGAGGCCACAGGCAGCCACCAGCCGAGCGTGGTTGCCCATGAACATGTTCGAGATGACGCAAGCGGCGAGCGAGAGCGAGAGGAGCAGGTTGGGCAGAACCAGGCCGAGCACATGCTCCTCGTGGACGTGCGACCGCTCGTGGCCTGATGCGCCGTCCAGCTTCTCGAGCAGAGGTGTGCCGTCGGCACCTCCGGAAGCGTGCGAGTGGGCGCCTCCGCCGCCTTCGAGCAGCGCATGCTCAACCGACTCCTTCAGCACGTAGACGCTGGCGAAGAGCAGGTAGATGGCCTGCACAAAGTGCAACAGCGTCGATACCCGATGGTTGCCGTACGGCTTCCGCGGGTTGTATCGGCGCTTCTTGACGCCGTTGCGATCGCTGTCCCGAAGCCGGTCATCGACGACGCGGGCCCAATCGGCACCGAAGCTCGAAAGGACGCCCATGGCATCGAAGACGACGAGGTAGCCCAGTCCAGTCGCCGAAAGCGAGTCCGCCTCTTGTCCGGCCACCCAGAGGGACGCGCCGAGGAGGAAGTGGGCCATTCCAAAGAGCAGCAGAGGTCGCGATGAGGCCGGAATTGCCGACAACGTGCTGAGCGTGCGCATCATCAGTGAAAGGCTTGTGCTTGATGACGCATGGTCGTGGTCGTGGTCGTGGTCGTGGTCGTGGTCGTGGCCGTGACCAAGGCCGTGGCCGCGACCGAGGCCGTGGCTGTCATGCTGATGGTCGTGTTGACGGCCGCCTGCGGAGTGATCGTGCTGATGTGAGTGGTGGTGGCCGGGATTGTCCGAGAAGGGATCCGAAGCCTCTCGTCTCGGAGTAAGGAAGCCTGGAGTCGGGAGCGAGCCGTCAGACATGTAGGAGCCGGCGCTCGAGCTGTAGGCCATGGCTATGCCTCCTGGGCTGAGACCGGACTCGACCATGGCGGCGTGGCTGACGCTGTGCTTGTGGTGGTGTCCACGACGCCCCCTTGTCGGGCTCGGGCTCAGATCGGAATGGATCGAGCTGGCGCTAAGCCCGCCTGCCGATGAGGTGTGACCGTACGTGTGGCTGTGAGCCTGGGCCTGGGCGAAGCTGGCGGACTTGGGCGAGAGGGTGCTGGCGTCTGTGCTGACCGTGATCTGTGGCCGATTGCCGCTTCCGGCTCGGCGGTGACCGAGGCCCTCGAGAGCCGGCTGGAGCTTTTGCGAAACCGCTTGATAAGGCGCCGCTGACGCCGCGGGGATCGCAGCCGCCGAGCCAGCTGCGGCAGAGCCCGAGAACTGCTCCGATGCGCGGAGCTGGTCAGCCTCGCGCTCGGCGTCGGTCTCGGGACGAGGGAAAAAGACGCTGAGGTTGCGGCTATGGACGCGCGAGTGCCGCCGCGAGTGCTCACGACGCTCGGATGCGGTCATCTTGGACATATCCACGCGTGGGTTGGCGCGCGATAGGTGGAGCGTGGGCGACGCGTCGAGGTCTGCGACAGTGTCCATGTCCTCGTAGAGCCCTTCGTCTTCGTTGAGCGAGACGGCCGGCGAAGATCCGGTGCCAGGCACCCTGAGAGACGAAGACCGCGAGGGAGCCTCGGAGGCGGTGCTCGACGACGGCTGAGAGGGATGTGAAGGTGGCGTCACCGAGGAATCTCCAGAAGGCGAGGGGGACGGCGAGGGCGTCTGTTTGGAATCAGGAGGGGTCATGGCGGCAAGACGATCCGCAGCTGCGAGCGGCGGGGGAGCCAGAGTCTGTACCGAGGCCAGTCGTGGGCTCGGGGACCGGCTCAGAGGAATGCTGTGGGCGAGCGGCGAGTGGGACGAGCTGTCGCTGGTGGTGCGAGAGCGAGCAAAGGTGCGGCTGTAGGTCGAAGGGTAGGATGCGCTGGATAAGAGCACGGACGACCTCCGGGTGTCAAGGGCCGGGCCAGCGTTCGAAGTTGGAGGAAGCGGGACGAGTCGGCTGTTGCCCGGCGGCGAGAGACGGTGGCGATTCTCCGTTTGGCCAGCACCGACGCCGTTGTTGCTTGTGCCCGTGCCAGGGCTGATGTAGTGCGTGGGTACGGCGAGGTGCGAAGAGGCCGACTCGGACTCGTAAGCTTTGACTATGTCCTTGACCGAACGCTTGCGTGCGAGGTAGGGCGTCTGCCGGAATGAAGCAGAGGCGGTCGTGGAGGGGCGCTTGTTCCGGTCGGCCCCTTTGGAGTCGAGGAGAGAGGCCCGAGATTGGGGGAAAGCGAGGTTGAGAGAGTTTGATTCCCCAAATGGCAACGCCACGGGTTGATCTGGGCCGGCTGACTCTGAGATCGGCGCAGTCCCGTCCTGAGCAGCGACTTGAAGAAAGGCAAGGGGCGGTGGTCGCTGGTCCGAGGCTGTCGTTTGATCCAGGGGCTCCGAGGTTGGATGTGCTTGTCCTTGGTCTATTGCCGGCGCTGCATCAGGCAGCATTGGGCGTCGACAAGATAGGGCTGCAAGCAATAGAGGTAGAGAGGCAGATGAATCGCGAGATTGGCGTGTGTCGAGGGGCAGAGGGAGACGAGGAGCTTGGACTCTGCCTCGATTGGCGGTCAGCGGTGACTAGAAGGGTCCCCGAGATGCTGCGGGTCGAAAAGGGAGCGGCTCCGAGGCGCCTGCTTGTTTCTCCAGCGCTGTCGTGGCCAGGCGGCTGCGATGACGAGCGAGAGAGGGTATGGCGTTGCTGCTGGACCGATGACCGATGCAGCGCTCCAGCCCGGAAGAAGAAGAAACGTGGGGTTGTTAGATCAGAGAGAGAGAGAGAGAGAGAGAGAGAGGAGGAGAGAGTGTGTGTGNGTCCGCGAGCGTCGGCGGTCGGGGGGTACGCGACGGCGGACGACCGCGTCGGTCGGAACCGGAAACCGGTACGTTCGTCGTCCGTCCGGCCGTCCTC